AGACCCTAGAAGTCTTCACTGCCCTTAGGATGCTATTTCATTTAATTTTAACATCTCTCTCCTGCTATACAGACTTTGATCATGACATACCCCAAACTCACAAAATCTTGAAATGGTGTTGGGAGAAGAAACTTAGCAAGATATTATCTAGTCCAACTCCCTCCCTGATGTAGAAATACCTCCCATGGTGTCTGAAATTAATAATCATCCTGCTTCTTCTTGAAGACGTCCAGTAGTGGAGAACTCACTGTCTCGTAAAGCCAATAACTCCATCCACTTGAGCTACTTCTGCCCTATGGTAATACAGATTAAATCTAATTCCTCATCTATGTGAAAGGCCTTTAAATATTTAAAGATAGCCACCCGTAAGTCTTTTCTTTTTCAGGCAATATGTTCCCTTTTCTTTCAACAAGTATTCTTGAGACAAGCATTTAATCTCTATCACCCTTCTCTGACATGTTTTAGTTTGTCAAGGTTTTGTCTGATATATGATGCCCATAACTATATCTGATTGGAAAGGAGAATAATTGAACTATCAATTCCCTTTCTTTCTGGACTTTGTACTTAGGCTGTAACAACAGCCTAAAGTTATATGAGCTTTTCTTTTAAAAAGAAAATTGCATTACACTGTAATCTTTCAATCAAGAAATTCAGCTTGGTGGGTAGTTGCTATGACTCTACTATGGGTAAGACCTGATTGCAATAGAAAAGGACAAAAACCAAGCCTCAGCCTTTTTTACATGAATTGCTCTCTAGTTACCCTCATCAACCTGGCAAGTATTTATATATTGGCTTTTCCAAACTTTATAGATTTCACATTTACCCTCATTAAAATTCACTTCCCATATCTTCTGAGAGATGAAATTGTCAATTGTACAAATAAAATATTTATCAGATGCTCTGCTTTTATCCTAAAAAAGATTTCTACCAGGTAATCATGAAGCGAAAGTTCCCATTACCACTATATCTTGTCTCAGTGTTAGCTTTTGATTTATTATCATCATTTATTTCCTCCACTTGGCCAGGGGATCTGGTATACCATTCTAACACCTGTTCTCATTCTCTCTCCTCTTATCCTCACCTACTACTTCCACAATAAATGACTCTTCAGATTCATTAATACCACTTAGCTTATTCATTAATACCACTTTACATAGTGCTAGTCTTTTATTTCCTCTCTCAAATATATTTCTTTGAAAAGAGATCGATATTTCCATTATTTCATCTTACGTGAACCATCTTAGTAAATTCTTCGTGACATTTTTAGACATATTTACTTCCTTACTTTAAATTCTTAAGTTTACTTTATTGCCCATACAATGTGTATTGATATATATATATCAACATCTGGATTCCCATTCCTCCTCTGACACTCATCATCTGTATGACCTTGAGTAAATTACCCAACTTCTTTAGACTTAGTTTCCTTATCTGTAAAATGAGGGGTGAGGACTAGATGGTCTCTTCATCTAGGATCCTATGGTCAAGGGTTAAAAGTATTCTTCCTAACTCCTCCCAGGGTTGCTTTTTTTGTTTGTTTGTTTGTTTTGGTTTGTTGTTGCTGTTTGGTTTAGTAATTCTTTGAATTTCAGGACAATAGCCTTTATAGATTTTTCTGTTCCAAGCTTCATGGTTTCCATAGGATCAAACAAGCAATCAAGGAACATTTATTCAGCAACCACCATATGCCAGGGACTGTGCTGGACACTGGAAATAAAGGCAAAAGTGAAATATTTCCTGTCTTTCAAGAAGCTTATATTCTGGGGCAGCTAGGTGGCACAGTGTATAGAGCACTGGCCCTGGATTCAGGAGGACCTGAGTTCAAATCTGGCCTCAGACACATAACACGTACTAGCTGTGTGACCCTGGGCAAGTCACTTAACCCTATTGCCTAGCCAAAAAAAAAAAAAAAGCTTATATTCTTTTGGGAGAGATGTGTTATGTTAAAAATGTTGGCATATGAGGAAATGTTTAAACAGTTGGTGATATTTGACCTGGAAAAAAGAAGAGTCCGGGGGGACATACTAGCTGTCTAAGAATATTTAAACACCGTTATAAAGAAGAGGGATTAGATTTGTAATATTTTGGCCCCAAAGAACTGGAATCAAGAGCAGCGAAAGGAAAGGGCAAAGAGACTAACTTAGTCTTGATGCCAGGAAAAACTATCCAGAAGCAAGAAGTGTCTCACGAGGTGGTGGGATGCCCTCACTGGAAGATGTCAAGCAGAGAAATAGGCGACTGCTAGTTGGATATATTTTAGTGGGGATTCCTTTTTTTTTTGTTGAGGGGGTATGGCTTGAACTCAGTGGTTGTTGGTTTCCCTTCTAACTCTCAAATTCTGTGATTCTATTAAAAACATGGCAAGTGGAATTTCCAGTCAAGATCATCTTTGGCCAGGTCTACAAGACACAAGAAAGCAAGTCGAGTCAGTTAAAAAGAAATAGTCACACTGATTAGCTGAGAACATCTGGCTCATTGTTCGATTTTGAAAAGCTGAATTAATAAGATGGTTGGGGACTTTGGGGCCATCCTCCCCACAGCTATGCTTCATCTCAGTGGATTATTTCCCCAAGGGTTGTTTCAACAGGTATTGGTCAGCATGATTGCTGAAGTTGACGAGGCACAATAAATTACTAATGGAAAAAAAAAAAACCTTTTGCACCTAGCTTAAGAAATTTGAAGTCAAAAGGAAAGGGATGCAGCTGATCCCTGTAGCATGTGTAACATGTTCATTTGGCAGGTAAATATTCCCTACTGTGACTGCAAAGTCCAGGTCTTCACTATCTGGCAGTTGAATTCCTGCCATTCAGATAGATGAAGCATGTATAACTTGGAGAATAGTCTAAAAGGAGAACAATTCATCTGGATTTCTTTTTTTTGCCATATAGTAGCATTAGCATTTGAAGAATTTAGCTCAGCATGTCTCCAACAGAAGCTTCTTTGTTAGATACTGGCTCATGATGAAAACAATTATGTGTCTCTATGTCAGAAAGTCAACAACATTTGCAATGTGAGAAACAACTACCGTGTGCCTGGCCCCATGGAGATGTCCCAGAAAGTAAAAGCAAAAGTCACCGACTTTGTATTCAGGATAGACTCGTTGATGTAGAGCCAGACTGGACATTAAAGACACCTAGTCTGAATTTTTCATTTGACAGATGAGAAATTTGAGGCATTCAGAGTTTAAGTAACCTGTCCAAGGTCAGAGGTTACAAGCTGAGACTTGAACCTTAGATTCTAAATCCAATGTTCTTTCCATTATTTATCTGGGGGAAAAGACTTAATATAGATAACACAACTAGAGTGCTGAATGATGGAGTATATAAGGTAATACTGACTCTAAGTGCTATAGGATGTGAGAGAAGGAAAAGGTCTAGTGACTTAATGTACTCCATATTTATCTTGTATGTTCTGATTTATCTATGTGGTCTCCTCCATTAGAAACATTTCCTCTTTCAGGGTGAGGACTGTCTTTGCTTTTTCTTTGTATCCCTAGCACGTAACATAGTGTCTTGCACAAAGTAAGCACTTAATAAGCAAATGATTGTCGGTGGATGGATGTATTTGGGTTTGGTTAATGAAGACCTTGTGAAGGACGTAGAACTTACATCCAATAATACCTAAATCTGCTATGATGGAAGAATCCTTCCAAGTCCACTCTGTGTAGTTGCTGATTTTTTAATTTTTTTTTTAATTTGTGAGACAGTTCTAAAAGATTCCTGATTTTTTTTTTTTTTTGGTCTGGTTGATATGTGAGAGAGTCAAATAATTTTTGAGATACTACTAGGTATTCTGTTAAGTTCTTAACATCCTAAATATATTTAGCATTATGGGACATAGAACAGGGTAGAACCTTAGAATTTATCTCATCTGATCCACTCATTTCACAGATGAGGAAACTGAGCCATATCAGAATACTGAAGTTACTTGCCCAAGTGAGGATTGAATGCAGATCTAAAGCTAAAGCAGTGAGGTGGCACAGTGGATAGAATGGCCCTGGAGTCAGGAATCACATCTTGAGTTCAAATTTCACCTAAGACCTCTACTAGCTGTGTGACCCTAAGCAAGTCACTTAACCTTGTTTGCCTCAGTTTCTCATCTGTAAAAGGAAATGGCAAACCACTCCAATACCCTTGCCAAGAAAAACGCCAGTTGGGTCATGAAGAGTAGGACCCAACTGAAAAACGACTCAACAACAACAAGAACAACAAAACCTGTGAACCTAGAACCCAAATACAGGGCTCTGTGGTCTAGTATCATATCCATTCTTATTATTTGTCTTTCATAATTTTTTTTATTTAAGTGTTTTTTAATCTCTTTTCCACCCCCAAATTAAAAAGAAAAAAAAACCTCCCGTAACATATGTGCACAGTCAAGTAAAACAAATTCCCATATTGTCCATGTCCAAGGTGTCATCGTCTGTATCTTCAGTCCATGACCTCTATAGTAGGAGATGGAAAGAATATTTCTTCCTGGATCCTCTGTAATCAAGGACTTCTCATGATTTCTTCCTACTCTTTGCTGGTGACCCTAATCATCCTGTATGGGAAGGCTGGTGTTTTGAGCACCTTTCTCCCAGGTGCACTCCATTTTTGAGGCCACCTCAGTAATGTCTCTTTGTGCCTCATGTCAAGGGCAAATTGCACCATTGGAACCTGCTCTCAAGAGTCTTTTGCTAATTGGGCACTGTTTGTTTATATTTGGCACCCATGGTACATTTTCCCTGGCTTCATTATTAAGTGGCTATAATGAGGAAAATAATCCCCTAACTTGGAAATAAGCTAAGTGATTTGTCTTAATTATTGTCAGCACTCAGTGGCTACCTTGTGGTGCCTGAACAGATGCCCTGGTGAGTAATGATGTTGGGGATTAGTAGTCATTTTCTCGGAAGTGGCTACAGTCTAATTTTTGGCTTTGGTGGCATGTTTCTTCTTTTTTTTCCCCCCTTGTCATATTGAATTAGATTACTACCCTGAAATTGGTATCTTTCCCTCTTCCAGTCGGTCCTTTCCCATGGTGCCATAGCAGACTGTGCTGTCGTTGGCAAGGAGGATCCTGTAAAAGGTCACGTCCCATTAGCGCTTTGTGTGCTGAGGAAAGGTGAGAACCCGCCATCCTTCCTTGACTCTTTGTGATGAAAGACGGCCTTAAAATTGTTGAGCACTCATAAATGGAAATCTCTCCCCTAGAAGTAAATGCTACAGAGGAGAAGATTGTGGAAGAGATCGTGAAGCATGTGAGAGACAGCATCGGTCCGGTGGCGGCTTTCCGAAACGCTGTGTTTGTTAAGCAGTTACCCAAGACACGCTCGGGCAAGATACCACGGTCAGCTCTGTCTGCTCTTGTCAATGGAAAGCCTTACAAGGTAGTCAGCTGAGAATTTGTAACACTGAGTTCTAATTTTGTTTTCCCTTTGATTTCATTGGTACTAGTAAGATGTAGCATCCAGGCCATTCTCCACAGCTGAATTTCAGCCTTGAAATAGATGCCCTCCGAGATATTTATGAGTATCTCTGGATCCAGCCTGATGGAAGGATTAAGTACCACTTAGGCTTTCTTATTCCTCAGGCTTTTAGCTGAGCAGTGTCTGGGGCATAAAAAAGTAAGAAGTAAATGGAATGTGATGGTAATGAATTTGAAAATGAGATATGTATGTTATGACTAATAGGCTTAACGGAATTAAAAAAGTTAAAAAAAATTGCAAATTTATGGAGCAGCTGCTATTTATAGTTCCATCACAAGAGCAGTAAAGGACCATGGATAGAATAATGGACTTGGACTCAGGAAGACTTGGGTTCAAGACCTGCTTCTGATGCTTACTAGCTGTGTGCTAGTCACTTAACACTGTTTGCTTCGGTTTCCTTAACTGTCAAATGAGGAGAAGAAAATGGCAAACCACTCTAGTATCTCTGCCTAAAAAACCCCAGATGGGGTAACCATGAGTCAGACATGACTGAAATGATACAGCAGCAAAATTAGGAAAAACAGGACCTGGAGTATCTGCCTAAACAGGTTGTTATGAGGTTTTAATGATATAACATAAAGAACTTGGTATGTGGCCCTATCCAAATGTCAGCAGTGATTGCCCTGATAGACATCTGCAAACCTAGGTAAGAATATGTGTGTCCCTTGATTATAGCTATGACTATAGGGAAATATTTTCCTTTCAAGGAAATGTAAGATAATTAAAATCAAACATACTGTCATTCAAGGTCATGGTTCCATTAGCACTTTGTGTAGTAAGGAAAGGTGAGAACCCACCATCCTTCTCCTGACTCTGTGTGTGATTAAAGATTTCTTAAGATTGGTGAGTGCTCACAATTGGAAATTTCTACCCTGGACATAAATGCTACAGAGGAAAAAGTTTTGGAAGAAATTATGAAGCACGTGAGACACAGCATTGGCCTGGTGGCGGCTTTTATTTTTTTTGAGATCCCTTTTTATAAAATCACAGATTTAGAGCTGGAAATGATCTGAAAGACTATCTGGTCCAAACATCTAATTTGACCAGTGAGTAAACTGAGTCCCTGAGAGGTTAAATGCGTTGTCCAGGATCATACAGCTAATACGTATCAGAAACAGAAACAAAGGATCACAGATTTAGTATTAGAACAGACCTGAAAGATCATTTGGTAAAACCCTTTCATTGCATAGATGAGGAAATTTAAGTTGAAGACTTGTCTAAGAAGGATCAAAGGCAAAATCTGAACCCAGGGCTTCCTGACTCCAAGTCCATCATTTGGACCACCCAATGCTTTACTGCTTCTGTGATGGAAGTACAAACAGAAGAGCCTTATAAATAGGCAATTTTGACTCCTCTCTTTCTAACTATGACTTACACTTGTGAGTATTATTCTAGTACAAATGATTTAAGTGGATAATGAAAATCTAAATTAAGAAATTTGCAAATGGATTTTTCTGCCTACACCTATTAGAATCTTGATCCAGACTAGAGTTTTTTAAATTTGTGTGTGTGTGTGCATGCACACGCTCCTTTGACACTTTGTGAAACCAGTGAACACTTTCTTAATATAATGATATTAAATATATAAAATCCATACAAAGCAATACATATAAAAGAAACCAATTATACTAAAATATAATTATCAAAATATTTTAAAAATAAAGTTTAAATTATTTATCATTTTTAAAATTAAAAAACTTTATCTTAAAACATTTTAAAAATACTCATGAATTGCCAGTTAAGAACTATTGAACTAGACATAATGTGGTTGTGTGTATTTAGCTAAAGATACCTATATACATATATGTATCTATGTGTACATCACTTTCATGTGTACTATAATATTAGGATTTATAATAAAAAATAAAGGGATGGTGTGATTACATTGACAAAAAAATTAAGATTAGCATTAGAAAAACTGTCTACCATTAATCCCAGTAAATATTATCACGTTTCCTATGTAGGCATCTGTTTACATGGGTGATATGCAAAGTGCTAGATACATGCCTCTGGAGAATGTTTTCTTTGTAAAATTTTCCAGTAGTTTAATTTTTTTTTGTTAATCTATAAGAGGTTCAAAATAGTTCAGTATCATTTGGATCCTTCTTTTGGCAAATAGCCACTTGAACTATATCAGAGAAGAGGGAGTAGAGAGTTGCCCATGAGTTTATCAAATGCAAGGGCAGCTGGGTGGCACAGTGGATAGGGGACTGGGCCTGGAGTCAGGAAGACCCAAATTCAAATCTGACCTCAGACCTTTACTCGCTGTGTGACCCTGGGGAAGTCACTTACCCATATTTTTCTCCTTATCTGTCAAACGATCTGGAGAAGGAAATGGCAAACCACCCCAGTGTATCTTTGCCGAGAAAAGACAAACCAACCATACAGGGTCAAGAAGAGTTTGATATAAATGAAGAATGACTAAACAACAATAAAATATCAAATTCGAAGGGAGCAGGGGAAATGGAGTTAAAAGTACTTATGACTCTCTGATTTTCTTTTCAGGTATCTCCCACAATCGAGGATCCACGTGTCTTTAGCCAGATAGAGGAAGTACTGAAACGGACATCATGACCTTTTGTCTTCTGTAAAAACTTACATAGCAGTGGAGAAGACATTTTACTTTGGTACAGAGAAATAGGTGGATAGTTGGAAGGTCTCAGTAGTTACAAAGCAAAGTAGTTAGGAAATAGAGGTTAATTATGTAGTTGAATGGAAGGTCTTTAATTGAACATGCCCATAGCTACTGGTTATTTGTTACAGGTCTTAGTATTTTTATCCATCCTTTAGTTTTTTTTTTATGTTTTTGTTGCTTTGTTTTCTGTAATTATGCTAAATTCTAGTATGAGCCTAATGAAATTATAGACTGTCAGAGCTGCAGGGGACCTCAAAGATTATCTTGTCCTACTTACACTCTCCCTCCTCTAATTTGAAGAAACTGTAGTCAAATGTACCTTTGGCCCTTCTTCCTGCCTTATGTTCAAATTTACCTGCCACTGCTCCTGAGAAGCTAAAGTTGTTAGGAGTTTGGAACAGGAATAGAAGTAGATGACTTATTTTACATGACAAATTAATCTTAGAAAGAGTAGGACAATCTCCATGGCGTGGGAAGGAAAAAAGAAAAAAAAAGATTACGTAGAGCAGGGGTAGGGAACCTGCAGCCTCAAGGTCACATATGGCCTTCTAGGTCCTTGGGTGTGGCCTTTCGACCGAGTCCAAGTTTTACTTTTATTAAGAGGATTTGTTCTGTGAAGTTTGGATTCAGTCAAAGAGGGCCACCTGTGGCCTCGAGGCTGGAGGTTCCACCCTGGGTTCCAGCTTAAAGGATATTATCATAGATTTAAAGCTGGAAGAAACCTCAGAGATCTAATCCCTTTACTCATTTTATTGATGAGGAAACTGAGTCCGCAAAAGATAGGTGACTTGCCCAATGTCCCACAGGTAGGAGTGTCAGAAGTAGGACTTAGAGCCATAACTTTGGACTCGAGAGCCAAAGAACTCAAAGCCCTTCCCACTGTATGACTGTGCTTCCAATTACACTGAAAAGTAAAATGGACCAAGTGAGGTTTTATTGGTAAGGCCATTCACACTGGTCTAGAATGGGCAAAAGAATGGAGTTTTCTAATGAACTGAATTTTCTGATAAACCCAATTTTGAACAAACTAGAACGCAGTGAAACATACTTGCTCCCTGTAAGGTATGTGTAGTAAACTGGATTGTGTATAATTTCATCTTGGATGATTCACAAAGTACTCAGGACCTTTCAGTGCCTCTGGGTCAGGAGAATGAATTATACCCTCTGTATGTACAGTTCTGTAGTTTTATTAAAAAAAAAAGTGGTGACTTAGATTCCTAATGCTTTGGAATTTGCTATTTGAATAAACACGTCAACTTATTTACTTGTCTTTTATATCTCTTAAAAGTGTACTATGCAAAGGGGAAAGTATGGAGTTTTTGAGATTCTAGAGAAAATGCACAGTTATTATGCAAGAAACACTTAGTTTAAATTTTCTCTGTAACTGATACAAAGAAGAATAATATGATTTCCTAGTTTTTCTTTTTCTTTCTTTTTTTTTTTAATGAGGCAATTGAGGTTAAGTGACTTGCCCAGGGTCACACAACTAGTAAGTGTCAAGCGTCTGGTCTGAGGCCAGATTTGAACTCTAGAACTCCTGGCTCCAGACCTGGTGCTCTATCCATTGCACCACCTAGCTGCCTGATTTCCTAGTGTTTTCAATTGGTTCAATGTATAGAAAATTATACAGCTTACCTTTGAATTTTAAAGGAGCAGGATTTTTTTTTTTTTGGCCATTTCATGTAATTGTTTCAGCTGTAAGTCCTAACAGATTTAAAAATCAATAATGTCTTTATGTCTGGAAAAAAAAGTTATCTTGTTTCCTTTCTTTTTTTGAATGTAGTTACATTGATTAAAATGGAGAATTCTATTGGAGAAACAGTTTCTCCATGCAAACTCTTTTGAGTACAGTCACAGTGAGACAGAGAAGATGAGCAGGCCGGTGATAATATAAAGGTACATTGGCAACATTTCATTTAGTACTTAAAGGTAGAGGGCTTTGGCTGCAGATTCTAGTCATGACGCAAATCAGAGTGATTAGAAAATGTTGTATTCCCCCTCAGGGAAGAGGGAAGAGCTATCTTCTAAGAGAGAGATTAAGAAGCTTTGTATCATAGGTTATTTTTGAAGGAACTATCCACATCAATCAGATCCCAGGTGCATTGAAGTATATACAGTTATCCCTTCTATATTGTAGGGTGGGGGGGAAGGGGTTAGGGGCACCATGTCCCTGTGATCTAGAAAATCCACGTAAAATTTTTTGGTCCTCCCTTTTTTTCTTTTTTTTTTATTAATTTATTTTGATTCATCAACAAGCATTTCCATAAGCTTTTGAGTTTTAAATTTTTCTCCGCCTCCCTCCCTAAGATGGCACCCAATTTGGCCCTCCCTTTGTAACAGAGAAGTCAGAACTTTTTCTTTTATGGGGTGTTTACAGTATTAAAAGATAAAATATGTTGATGTTATATAGTACTGTATATATATTTTATGCATTTGTGTGTTTCTAAACTTTTTGTGTCTTTTGCTGGCCTTCACGTGTCGTCTGTGGCTTCTGCAAAACTCCCCCAGAATTCCCATTTAATTTCTTATGTCAACCTACAATGTATTGAAACTATGATGGGGAAAGTCATAATGTGGAAGGGATAACTGTACCAACAGGGAAATTTTAGTCTATAGAAAGCAGCAATGGCAATCTGGGCACTTCTTCATTCATATCTATCACCCTTTTCTCCATTTTTAATCATAGGAATCACTGTTTGGAAAAAAAAAAAAAAAGCTTTCAAAAGGTAATCCTAGACCATTCCTGCTTTTCATCATTTTAGGTAGCATAGTAGACAGAGAACTGTCCTCAAAACCAAGAAAACCTGAGTTCTAGTCCAGTTCAAGACCTCTCATTCCTGTTGCAGAATAGGTTTAGGGAAAGGAGTCTCTTTGAGGGTTCCTTAGACTAGCGGTGTCAAGCTGAAATAAAAAAAGAACACGGGGCTACTTGCCCATACGTAGGGCTTCTGCAGGCCACATATGACTTAGCCACAAATTCACATTATGTTTTGTGGTATTTTTATTTTGTGAATTCTCAATTACATTTTAATCTGTTTGGGTGGGCACTTGGGAATGTTGCAGGCTGAATGGGCCTTCTGTTTGACTGATACGACCAGTGACTTTGCATGTGTTTATTTAAGGAAGTGCCAAGGAATGTTTTTTAAAATGTCAGGTTTCCATCCAATTTAAGGAAATTTGTGTTCAATTTCACAGATAATTTTCATATGAAAAAAAATATTTTTCCTATCCAGTTCTTTTACTTAAGAAAATTAAATGTATCTCTTGCCTAGTTGGAAAGCTAGACCAAAACTGTAATGCTTTACATGAAAGAGACACTGGTAAGTAACCAAGGCTAGGAGTTGTGAATTGGCAGCCATGATTGAAAAATCTAAAACTACTTATTTTAAAAAAGCACAAAAAAGCGACATTTTTTTGAAACCAGCCCAGATTGTATAAAATCCTTCTTCAAACATATTCTCTTAATAATACCCAGTGGGAGGAGTCCATGGAGATGATTCCAGAGGTGAATGAAGGGACCTTTGAGGTCATATAGCTGTTACTGTTATGCTAGTGATGAAAGAGGGTCTAGAGTTTTGGGATGTGCTGGAAGTTATCTTGTCTTTTAAAAGGCACTGTTAACTCTGTGAAGGTGAATTTATTATCATTTCTTCAGAATACCCCCTCCATGCCTCGCCTAGTGCTATCCATAATAAATGACATTGCCTGTTTTCCTATCTATCTCCTTATAGATAGATAGGAACTCCCTTAGCCTAACTAACTAACTAACTGCCTGTAAGGAGCATGACATGATTGGATCTTAAAACATTTTAAAAATACTCATGAATTGCCAGTTAAGAACTACTGAACCAGACATAATGCGGTTGTGTGTATTTAGCTAAAGATACCTATATACATATAGGTATCTATGTGGACATCACTTTCATGTGTACTATAATATTAGGATTTATAATAAAAAAATAAAAGGATGGTATGATTACACTGACAATAAAAAATGAAGATTAGCATTAGAAAAACTGTCTACCATTAATCCCAGTAAATATCATCACATTTCCTATGTAGGCATCTGTTTACATGGGTGATATGCAAAGTGCTAGACATGTGCCTCTGGAGAATGTTTTAAAGAATGTTTAATGTTTGCTCCATCCCCTTCCGCAGACCTTGGCTGTCTTCTCCAGGTTTATAATCAAACATTTGCAAATCCTTCCAACAGCTCATCAGGCTGATTCGTGAGTTTAGTCTTCCCTCTTGTGGCAGAATGAGGTAAGGCAACTATCACACTGGGTACCAATGTTGTGTGGTGGTTTATTTACATCTTTGTGTGACTAGCTAACAAACAAAGATTAAACACAGAGGTGGAAGAATTATTTTTTTATTGACAATTGGGGGAAGATTCTCTCACCGTTACCTTTCTACTGAAATCTGTCAAACAGAAGACAACAAAACAAATGTTATGTACGTGCAAACATTGCAAATTAAACTGCGAAAAGAAATAACTAAAAGACAGGTCTTGAGCTTAATAAAGTCAAGCAGCAGAAAATTAGCATTTAGGTAAATGGCATTATTAAATAGGTTGTACTTTGAAATTTCCCATGTAAACAAAGAATAAACAACAGTCACACCACCAAATAAAGCCACAGGGAAGAGTTGCTCTTCTATATTTTTATACACTATATATGTTATTTATTCTGTCTGTCTTTCAGTTATTTCCTCTGATAAAAATGGACTTCAGGGGAAGTCTCAACAAGGCCATCTTGGCTAAAAGCTTATAACATTAGTCATGGGTCTGGCTAATGTCCTGTTCCAAAGACAAAAACAAACAAAAAAAAAGTGTGTGTGTGTGTAGGGGGAGGGGAATTTCAGTGTTATTTGTTTGTTTTTAAAGTAGGAAATTTGAGCCTCAGACTCCTTGCAGTGCTTGGAGATCATTGTCTAATGCTGGCTGGCAACTGAAGACCTTAGAATGAAAATGTGGTTATTAGGAAAGAAAGGTTCTTTCTTGGTCCACAGATAACAAGAAAAGATAATGTTCCTTAGAAACTTGGTTTTTAGTCATTGCTTCTGTAAACAGTTTGCTTGGTTTTGTGTTGAAAAGGATAGAGAGCCATCACAGTGCTTTTTTCTACAGGTTCTGGGCATTTCGGGTTGCCTTTGAAGGTCCATTTTGGCTCCATTTCCAGGTTAAATTGTTCAGTTTGGATGGGATCAGAGGCAGGTGTCCAGCTTTAAGTACTGGCAGATTTGAAGGAGGAAGGAGTGGAAGCTAACTCCAATAAACATATTCATCCGACTGTTACAATCCAAAAACTGTAAAAATGGAATGATAAGATACAAACAGGATAATTGTCAAGTGCTTGCACTCAGACTCCATGAACCATAGAATTTTTTTTATATAAAATCATATTTATATCAATTTTACATAAAACTTACACGTTTTAAAAGAAATACATACACAGTAATACATAAATGTCTAGTATATTACAGTAAAACAGATGGAACAATGTAAAAATGAATGGTTCCATTTTGTAAAACATCTGGTGTAAAGGATGCTTGTTTTAAAATGACTTAAGCTTTTTTTTTTTTTTTTCCTCTTACAATTTTAGTGAACTAACCAAACAATGCACGGGAAAAGAATCACATTTTCAGCTTAATAAACCTTGACTTGTCATTATTTTCCCTTAGGGCTGAATTGTCCTAGTAGTTTTCACGGCTCCTCTTCTAAGGTGATAGTGCACTTCAGGTAGAGTAGACTGAAAAGATGACATCTAAAGAAACAGTAAATAGAATGTTATCAACTGCAGTCGAGTTCTACTCTTCTTACTTTCTTAGGAGTGTCTACCTAAGAAACCAACTACTCTTAGGCTAACACTAATCGAATATGAGAACAGGTAGTCATGGGTCCTGGCACCAGTTGCATATAGTTTTCATATTTTAATGAAGAGTATTAGACTGAAGTTTACATATAACATGAAAAGAGATTATTTTGATCCACTTGAAGGTAAATTCAATAGTATTAGGCTTTTTAGGCAAGTAGGGTGGAACAATGGAAATAATCATGGATGCGGAGGCACAGAACTTAGATTCAAATCTCACTTCTGACATTTATGACCTCATTGTATTTTGGGCCTCATTGTAAAAATGAGGGGATTAGAGTTAATGACCTCTGTAGTCCTTTCCAACACTAAATTTGTACTCCCTTGAAACCATAAATTTGGGGTCAATTGAGGTGAGGGTCTGTGAATGTTTTTATTACAAAATATTTTTATATTTGTATTTCAATGTGAAGTGTTACTTAACAATTTTCTGTGTTTTATTTTACATGTAAAAACATCCATAGACCTTACTATACTGCCAAAAGGGTTCATGTTGCACATTGTTAGGAACCCCTCCAACAATTCAGTATCCTTGCAGAAAAAAGCAAACCTGGTTACTAAATTATTCTACCGAGCACGTCTGTTTGATACTGATGGTTGTTTGTCTTTCATTGTCAAACAGGACCACGACATCAGGAAGGTGATGCCATGACTTGCAAGTGGATTGGATTTAAGTGAGAGAGGGCTGTGCAAAGTCACCAGCCTCACTTTCTCCTCTGGAGCCATGTGGGTCCAGAGGCAAGATATAGATTAGGACAACTAGAGATAGCCCCAGTGCAGTGGGAGAGCTTGGCTTTTTTAAGTGAAGGTCTTTCCCAAGTCTCAGTTTGACTGAGGTAAAGCCCATTCAGTGATTAAGACTAAGTAAGAAATAAGGAAACTATTGGCCTCTTTTACCTAGTCAAAAAAAAAACAAAAATCAATCTGGGAGGGGAAGACCCACGGGGTTTCTGGTCAAAATAGAAACAATTGCTATTTACATTCACTCTGAGCCATCAGGGCCCAAACAGTGACCAAGTGAAGCTTGGGCTGGGACCTCTTGTTGGCCAGTCTATGAGAGCCAGAGTGACCTGGGTTTAAGGCATGGTCCTTAAGAAAGAAATCTAGCCCTTAACCCCTAAGATATCTTGTGAGGTTTCAGCAATCAAAATTTATATTCCTTTGTACAGAACACCCACAGGTAAGGCTCTATGTGGACAGAGGGAGAGGAGAGAGGAAGGAAGGAAAGCAGGAGCTGTGTTGCCTAACTGGAACTGGCCAGTTGGGTCCTTAGTGGGGCAGCTACTATTACGCATAGATTGTTGTTCATCCTTCCTTCTCGAAGAGGACCATGACTTCAGGAAAGAGACGGCATGCCTTGAGAGTGAATTGGGTTTAAGTGAGAGAGGGCTATGTCAAGTCACCAGCCTCATTCTCTCCTCCTCCAGAGCCATCTGGGTCCAGTGGCAAGATATAGATCAGGATGACTGGAGATGGCCCCCTATTTGAAATTATGTGAGTCTGAAACATATAGTACTGCAACACTTTTGCTACTGCTTATGCCACAGTTTTTAGAAGCTGCTGCTATCAATTGTGCTAAAATAATATGGCACAGGGTTGTTGAAATGGTCCAAAGGTGGCATTTATTAACATGCTCATTGCCTCTCTTTCAATCAGTAATCAGAGTTAGAATTTCTGTAGTGCTCAATGATCTGCAAATAGCTTTATATTGACAAAAATCACCTATAACCACTCAACATCATACAGGAAAATGAATAAACAGCATGCTCTGAATTTTTCATAAAGCATATATACTCTGTTCATCTAAAATCATTCCTTATGGGTTTAACTATTGTAAATAAGTATGGTTAGAATTCCCAGGAGAGGGGATCATGAAAATGCTAACTGAAACATTATGTACAAAACAGAATGGGACTAGTTAGGGGAGAAAGATAAATGCTTCCCTTAGTCAGAAGCAGCAAAGCCCTGATGAACCATATTAAGTATTCATTGTGTAAAACAGCAAAATATTCAATTCTTGGGGAAATTAACATGTTGTATGTAGGATGTATTTATGAGAGAACATTATTCTGGAAAACCTCCTGTTTAATGAAATTATTATATGCTTCAGACTGTGCCCAATTAAATGCCAAATTGTATGCAGTAATTACATTTCTAATGTTAGGGTTGCATGTTTTTAATTAAATCTCCTACTTGAATTTTTTTTGAACCAGCTAACTCCCTTATTGGATACAAAAGATGAATTATAAATTTGGTGACCCTTGGGGTTCAAGGCAATGAACAATGAAGAGCTGCTTCTCATCCACTCCCCTTCTTACTATCTTACCCCAAGTGAACATACCATTCTTTCTGAAAATCTTCCCAATTATTCTCCTTCCCCCAAATCTGTTCTACAAAATGGTACTGCCTTGGTGAAAATGTACCTACCACGTATGTGTAGAAGGTAAAGGAGTCTTTTCTGTATGTTGGCAAATTTAGTAATTGATTCTGTTTTACCGTGATTGTTGTGGATAGGAGAGCCTTTGGATATGCCATTGAGCGAGACCCAACTCCCATCTACGGTAAAAGGTCTTAAGCTAACAAGACCATTTGTCTTCCCAACATTATAGAAAAAGTTTTTTCACTTTTCAGAAACTTAGTAACTTATAAAATTTGCCTCTTAGCATCATTTTGGTGAAAACTAAGTCAAGATGAAGTGCAAAGAAGCTAAAACTTTTTGACAGAGATGCCTAAAACCAAAGGTTCTTAACCTAGGGTATGTTGACCTTGTTTTGTTTACTATTTTGATAACTGTTTCAATAGGATTGGTTTATTTTGTAATCCTTTGTATTTTATTTTATGAATTTATTATTGTTCTGAGAAGGGGTTTACAATACTAAAAAAAAAAAATGTTTAGGAATCCCTGCCTAAGACTAAAGATGCCAAGCTATTTTTCCTACTCTCTCTCTCATTGGGTAGATTTTGTCTAAAGCACTATCTGCCTCTTCTAGTAAAGTAGTATTAACTTTTAAGGCATTCTTTTCCTACTGGTTTAAAGGACAGATCCTGGTTGGTTAATTATACCGTGTCCCTTAATTTAAATGTTAGTCATGGAACAAACTTAACATAGCACTGATGGGATGGTGGTGATCAGATGACAGGTTGCCATGAGATCTTCAACCACAGTAGACAGATCAATGTTAATGGTGGCACTGGACTGAGAAACTGTAACTACCAAGGAATGCCAGAGATGGGGTGGGGAGGTGTTGAAACCAGGTGCACATTTCTTTTGGAGTAAACAACAGCTACTCACAACAGTTCAGTGCTGCCTCCTTTGATAGGCGTGTCAACATGAGTATGTGCGAACAGTGGAGCTGTCTAACCTCTGCAACCTCGAAGATGCAACTGTAAATGGAGAGAAGGGCTTTAGCAGGCCTGGGGGATGGAATATCAAAGTCCAGAGTTAAATGGGGGGGTCCCCTCCCCCAGAAGAGCAATTCTAAGCCAACTAATCTTCTCTGGTTCCCCTTTGGAGATTTTCCTGGTCTGTAAAATGAGGGGATTCAACTAGGTGGCCTCAAAGGCCCCTTCCAACTGTAACTCTATGGTCCTAAAATCCTTACTCTTCTCTGAAAAGGCTCAGTCTAAGGAAATTAACTCAGCTGAGTTTTTAGTTTCAAAAGCACCACCGGCATTTAATTTCCTGATAAGTTGGGGGGAGAATGCCTTGAGGCTTCTAGGTGGGATAGTAAATAGATAGAATACAGGTCTTGGGGGGACAGAAGGACCTTAGTTCAAACTTTGCCTCAGACTGGTACATGTGTGACCTTGAGCAAGTCACTTCTCCCCTCTCAGTTTAAATTTTCTCATCTAGAAAATGAGAAGGTTGGACCAGATTGCTCTATTTTTGTGATCTTTGAATCTCTTAGTTGAAGTATACTATATTACTCCCTGGTTTTGTTTTAGTAAAAACATGGAATACCCTGGCAAAACTTAGTTGATGGTGTTTTTATGCTTCCTCTGCATACTGATGAGATTCTAGCTCTCAGTAACTACTAAAAACTCTTGGGACTTAAAACAATTCTTGAAACATTTTAGTAAACTTCAAAAATCATGAACTGATGATGTGGCAAAGTAAGAGATTATGCCATAATGATATAAAGAAAGCAGGACTCTTTTGCCCCTTGTCTACTTGACAAGAATGATGATGAATTCTCATGAAAAAATATTTGAGCTCAAATTCAACAAATTTATGAAATGCATACCATGTATGCACACTGTGCCAGGTACTAGATAGAGGAGATAAAATGTTTAGATTGATCTCCTTCCTAACAGATGGTTTTCCCTTACCACTTATCTAGTAATTTCCACTAGGAAATTCATTAAAAGTGATTACTTAAGACTTATACCTTTGTCAGAGGGGATATATACATATACATATTTATGTATATGTGCATAGGTATTTGATGAAGTCAGCTTACTGGTGTTAAACGTGAAATTTGAATATTTAGTGGAATGAAACCAGTTTTCATCTATTAAGAGTCTACTTCTAGTTCAGATCTAGCTTCTTCCTAAAACAGTTAGCTTGAAAAAATGGAAGTCTAAAGAAATACAGAAGATAATATTTTTCATTCCCCAACATAGCCATTAGCCAATATTCTCGCTGGCGGAGACATCTATGTAATAAATAGATGTGAACTAAATGGTGGGAATTTCAGAGTCAACCACTTGCCATTTATTCAGGGTTTTGCTGAAAGCACAGAATAATTTTCAAAGGAAGGCAATAATCAATTCCTGAAAGTGATAATATGCACATTTACTATCTCATCTCATCATGTGAAAGCCAAAAATGCAAAAATACTGTACCGTCTGTTGCCATTTTCCGAGATTGCCCAGATGTGGTGGTTAGCCTAAACCCAGCTGGCAATGTCTCTGAGGAACCAGGCATCATACTGATCCCATGGACTTCACGGGGAGGAAACTGTCTTCTCCATGATGACCCACGCCTAAAATTCTTGTCATCACTCTGCCAGTGCAGAGTTTGGAATGTGTTGAAATAAAAGGCAATCAGAATGCTATAAGCATCTGAAAACGTGTGGACAGAGATACATTATCTAGATTTTTTTACTTTGTCCCTCCACCCCTTACTGTCAAGGATGTTGAATTACTATACCTCTTGCTGAAAGAAAAGGTAAGTATATAAACAACTATGGGGAAAAGAAAAAGGAAAAACTGACAAGCCTTTGAAACTTTCTGTATTCTTTTTGGTATGAATCAAATCTGAATTTTATTGCTACGAGAGCAAGATGTTTTTTAAGGTAAGTTTGAAGGTCTGGAATTGAGAACTGTGATCACTTTCATTTCATACAGACTGGTTTTTATAATGATGAGATTACATAGATAATTAAAAATTTTATTATAGCAAATTCCATTTGACTGTCACACCTCAGTACCTATGGTTTTGTTAAAAATGTGTTTGAAAATGAGGAAGGCAATCTATCCGTGAGATCATCAGGCACAATGCTTGTTACTCTATGTAGGGTAAATTTGCAAGGTGGGGGTCATAAAGCAGAGACTTAGATACATTCAGCTTTACCCCAGAGGGAAGAACAAGGGTTCTACAATGAGTTGTAGCAAGAAAGACTTTTTTGGCAGAGTATAGGGAAATACTTTTTGACGATTTTAGTGACCCCAGAATGAAAGAAATGGACTGCCTGTTGGGAAATGGGGGAGGGGAAGCTCACATTATTGTTCTTCAAACAAAGACTGAATGACTTCCTTGTCACAAGGAAGTAGGCCTCTGAGGTTACATCCAACTCTGAAATAATGTATTTTTTTTAAACCACCACTGTTTTTAATTGGTTTGCAGCTGTTTTGAAAATGACTGGTACTTTGCTGAAGGAAAGAAGGGGAAAACTGCACCCTGCAACTTATATGTTTAATTCATAGAAGTGCGCTTTCCTTTTATCCTTGAAGAATGTTAATTATTGTTCTTTGAGGTCCATACACTTGAGATGGAGCTGCTATCAGACAGAACAGCGATAGAGTTCTCCAGTTAAATCTCACATGTTTTACTCATGAATGTTGGTACATATTACTATTAACTATTTTCTCTGTGATCTAAGTTTAGCAGTGCCGATTTCTAATGTCATTCCGGTCCTTGTTTCTGATTTAAATTGGGGAGACCTATTTAAATGGTAGCTTGACTACTCGTGTGGACTCGAGTTTGACAGAAAGAAGGTAGTAATCTGGTTCCAATGATCATTTTGGGGAATAAGTATTTTTCAAGAAAAATTACTTGCTTTGAGAGAATTTACTTCATGAAGGTAGAAGAATATTTTGAATTAATGATTGAGCCTCAGAGGAGGAATCAGGGGTATAATGGATTCAAACTGGCTATTCCATTTAATCAGTATGTTTTGGACAAGTAACAGATTGGTCCCTGGAGAGCTTTCAATAGGTATATTTGAAAAATATTGTATGTTCTATCTCTCCTGACTCACTGGTTAAAAGAACTACCAGCTTAAATATGAACAACTTTGAATTTGTTATATACTAAAAAAATACATACTATATGGATTAGACATTTGCAGTTTCACATATAATCCATCCTTACTGTTCTCATATGGAAATGTTTTTGGTATTCATTCAATAACATCCGCGCCCCCCCCCCCCCCCCCGTTAGAGTAGACAGCAGGAAATCTGCATTTAATTACCGCAGTTTAGAATGAATGTTTTTCAGTTTCTGGAATTATGACTAGCCACTCCATCACATTTTTCTGGGCAGAGAACTATTTCATATAAATATAGTGATATATGGAGCCTTAGAGTGTTTTGAATATTAAAGAGTAATTAACATTAATAAAATAGTATTTAGTTTCTTCTGTGACTTTCAGGTCTGTTTTCATTGCATTGAAAAGTAGCCACTACCGAATATTTAGAGACACCCCCCCCCCTTTTCTTGTCAAAGCCACCATGCCCTCCAGAGCATTCTGTTTTAAATGTGACATCCACTTCCTTAAGAGATCTGAGGGAAGAAGTTTTCAGAAGACAGCTTTCCCAGGTCATCTGTGAAGTTAGCCAGTTAATAGAATCAGATCGTAATTCCATTTGTCGGAATCACTTTGAGAAATGTAGTGTCCTAGCTTGTCAATATGGAAGTGGGAAACAGACCACATTATTACAAGGGCAAATAGGTTGAGCTCATTTTGCTCACACAGGACAGCATCCACAGTACTGTGGATTCTACTTCTAATACTAGGAAGAAGGGAAAAACTTTTTTTAAAATTCCCAAGCACATTTAAAGAATAATATGGATATATTTATTTTTATTTCTTCAATTAGTATTATCAGAAAAACACATGGTAGACCCCATAATACATTGAGATCTCCTTCTGGTTACCTGACACTTAAACTCTAGGCTCACTTTCTGAATTCTCATCTTTTGCAAGAGAATCCGTCTAAGAAACCTCAGCCCAAGAAAACCAATTTATTATAAAATGGTATCACGAGATTTGAGTTGTGATTCTGCTATTTTTTGACCATGAAAGGTGGCTTTATCTTTATGAGCCCCACCTTCTACATCTCTAGAAATAGGGCTTGCAAGACATACTTGGTGGGCCTACTGCCACAATTTTTTTTTCCAGGGAGACAGGTAAATAACAGAGGCAATCTGGACCTATGCTTTTTATCCATACATATCAATACCCACTCACCAACTTGTTCTTAGAGAATTACCTGGTAGTAGTGAAAGGTTAACAAACTTTCCCAGGGCAACTCAACCAATAGGGGGGATCAGATATGAGACTTGTATATATCCTGCTTGGTGGACAACTTTCTATCCACTATGGCAGCCATAAAGTACCATGTAAATGTAAGTTATTGTTATTTTGAAAAAAAATATTCATAGGTTTTTAACGACTTTTGGAGTCAGTTGTTAAGAGAGACAGGATAAGCTTTGGCTTTAGACCAAATGTTCTCAACCTGGGGCCTATAAACTTAAAAATATATATTTTAATTAACAGGATTTCAATATAAAGTGGTTTTCCTTGTAATACGAATTATTTTATTTTATGCAGTTAATTCTGAGAAAGGTCCGCAACCCAAAAAAGGTTAAGAACCCTTGTTTTGTCATCTGTACTGGAAAGTTCAATGGACTTGAGGTTGGATTTCTGCTTTGCCTGTTAGTATCTACATGAGAAATTTGGGTTTTCCACCCTTCTCATTTCTCATCTCTGATTCTCAAACTTTAATGTGCTAGGCAACTGCCTGTTTATTATTATCTCTAGCACATGGATAATAACGATGCTTTTACCATCTAATGTAGAAGGTTGTTTTGTGGATTAACTTAAATGAAATAACATAAAGCAATTTGTCAATATAACACATGACATTAATGCTAAGTGATATTATAAGAATTCAGGTGGAGTGTTTTTATGATCTAGTACTTTTTCCACACTTAGGAGCCCAGGATTATTTGGAACCAATATTTCTCCCTGTGCCACCTACGGAGCCTTCTCCAGAAACACCAAACAGTCATTAGCATGACCTAAGATATCAGCAACTCTGGGCTTTGCCTACTTTCTCTGGGACTTCTTACAAATAGTTACAATTTGCATGGTTCCAGGACTTCTTAAACTTTTTTCCATGGGAGAACCCTTTTTTTTTTGGCTAGGCAGTGGGGTGAAGTGATTTGCCCAGGGTCACACAGCTAGTGAGAGTTTTGTGTCTGAGGCTGGATTTGAACTCAGGTCCTCCTGAGTCCAGGGCCAGTGCTCTATCCACTGCGCCACCTAGCTGCCCCCCCCCTTTTCATATTTTGGCAGCATTAGTTAGAATTGTGTGACCTAAAGGCATATGCAGTGCAAAATGTGCTTGCTTTGTGCTCTGCCAGAAACACCTTGGATTCATTACACATTTGATTTTTAATTAATTTTTGGTCGTTGCACATTCAGAAACCTCTTACTGTTGCCAAATTTTTTGCAACCTCATATGGGGCTGTAACCCACAGTTTAAGAAGTGCTATCTTCAGTAACTAGATGGCTTAGTGGATGGAGCACTGGGCCTGGCATCAAGACGACCTCAGTTCAAATTCAGCTTCAGATACTTTACTAGTTGTGAGACCCTGGGCAAGTTATTGTTTGCCTTAATCTACTGGAGAAGGAAATGACAAACTACTCCAGTATCTTGACCAAGAAAATGCCATGAACAATATGGTCCACAGGGTCACAAAAATTGGACCTGACTGAATGATTGGACAACAACAAATGACCAATAATCTTTGATAGAATTGTAAAAAAAGTAATTCATTTTAAATTTAAAATTGGCTAAAATGATGGAAAATTCATTTATTTTAAAATCTAGAAATTTCCCATTCAGGGAGTCTGATATTCAGTGATCTGCTATTAAATAGCTGAATCTCTAAAATTATCTTTACGTGCAATCCTATTTCTGGTAAAAAAAAAAAACAAAAAACAAAAAACTAGAGTAACTTAAATTGAGGTCTGTGAACTAGGTCACAAATTTATTCTTTTCAATATTTTATACCTATATTTCAACATAATTGCTTTACTTTGTAATCCTGTATCATTTATTTTATGCATTTAAAATATTATTCTGGTAAGGAATCTATGACAAAAAATGGGTAGCAACTCTAAGTGATATTTAGGGTTCATCTAGATCTACACTTCTAAACATTCTTAGATTCTTTGAACTGATACCCAATTAATCAGGGCAGTTGGTTTCCATTCATATATTATGCAAAATAACCAAATATCTTGGAAATACTATCTTCTTTAAATGATCAGTTTTGATAAGATGTACAAGTGTTTTGCAAACCATAAGGTTTTGTATAAATACTAGCTATTATTTCTTGAATCATTTCAATGTCACTGATTCCTAGAAAATTTTATTTGATATTAGAGGTTTATGAAATTTCAAATAACTAAAGTAGTTTAGTATTTTAGTTCATGGGAAAGATAGGTGGATTTGAAGAATGAGAATCTAAATTCAGATATTGGCACTGCTATTTAGTAACTGTGTGACTGGGCAGCTAGGTGGCTCAGTGGATAGAGCGCCAGGCCTGGAGTCAGGAAGACTCATCTTCCAGAGTTCAAATCCGGCCTCAGACACTTACTAGCTTAGCCGTATGACTCTGGGCAAGTCACTTAACCCTGTTTGCCTAAGATTCTCCAGAGCTGGAGAAGGAAATGGCAAACCACTCCAGTATCTTTGCCAAGAAAACTCCAAATGGGGGCCATATGGAGTCAGACATGATTGAAACTACTCAACAGCAACAAAAGTGATTACATACAAGCCATTTTCCTTAGTTTGCAGATCTTTAAAATCAGGAACAGTTAACCTCTAAGGTTCCTTCCCTTTTAAAATCAATGAGCCCATAATCATACGAAAGAATGCTAATAGGCAAAGTCTACTACTGCACTAGAGAACAATCACAGAAATCCCCCCCTTCTTAAGAAGCATGCATATCCTGTATTTTCTATAAATTCTCTTCATTCAAATGAAACATAAGGACTTACTTCATCCAGTCTCCGTTCAGTTCCCAGTGCCAAAAGATTGTTGTATTCTCTTTCAAGAATTTGTCTTGCCTAGAAACAAATTAGAGTTACTGGCTCCAAAAGGACATTCTAAAAAATTGTGTAAGTTATATTCTCTACCCTAGTAAATATTTGAAATCTTGCTTGACCCTTATTTAGATGCAGCTAGGGGGCACAGGACAGAGTATTGGACCTGGAGTCAAATACAGCCTTAGGCACTGAGAAGGTCCATTAACATTTATCTGCCTCAGTTTCCTCATCTGTAAGATGGGGCCAATAGCACCTACCTGCCAGGATTGTGAGGATAAACTAAGAGAATATTTGTAAAGATCCTAGTATACCTTAAAGCAATTATCAAGCTGCAACATATTGGAGTATGGCTCTAATATTCTACTTTTAATAACTGTCCTAACTTTCCCCCTCTTTAATTCTACAGTATACAAAAAAGAGGGAGGATAAAATTCTGCCAACTCATATGCAGATGTACTAAATTCCAGTGGTCAATGACTTTTATTTTATCCCAGTGAGATGTAAGCTTACTGGCAATTTAGACCTGTGTCTACATAATGCCAAACCACTGAAGTGAAGAGTGAAAAATTGAGTCATTTATCTGAATCACTTTTCTGCATGATTCCCTATTACTTTAAGTGAAATAAGCTGCCTCACAAAGTATCGAGAGCCCTGGCTCCAGAAAAATAGAAACTGCTTGACCATCTGTCAGGGATGGTACAAAAAGGGAAGACTGAACAGGGTGGGAAAGCACCTGTAAGGTAGCATAAAGAGCAAGGAGTCCCAAGACCTGGGTTGGAATCCTGCCTAACTCACTATGTAACCTTGGGCAAGTCATAACCTCAGTTTCCTCATATGTAAAATAGGGATAATAACAGCACCTACCTCACAGGGTTATTGTGAAGATCCAATGAGATAATGTTTGTAAAGCACTTAGTGCACTGCCTGGCACATAGTAAGCCCTAGATAAATGTTAGTTATATTAACTTGATGAGGTAGAGTTCATTAAAAATGATGCTTGACCTATGGTTTCACTTTATTTTTCTTGTCTCCTCCCCTTTTGCAACATGGCCAATAATGAAAATATGTTTTGCAGCACTTCACATGTTCATATATATATTGCCTGCCCTTTCAATAGGTGGGGGAGGGACTGTAGAGGAGAGAATTTGGAACTCAAAAGGAATAAATGAATGGGAAAAAAAAACCAAATGATGGTCTATCGATACACACAGACCAGTCACTTCCTAGAAAAATAGTTTGTCTTTACATAAACTTACTTCCAGAATTCAAAATGCCAAATGACTTGCCTGTGTATTCTGCGTAGGAATCTGTAATAATAAAGCTAAGCTGCTATAGTCGAAGTTCTCATCCAAGGCTATAAGGGATCCGTGCACACCACTTTCGAGCACGTTGTTTGCGTACTCTCGAAGTCCAATTGCTTGTATCCAACGAATCACTCGGTCGTTGCTCCACACCAACACATCTAGGAACAGAAGTCAACAATGACCTTGGGAGACTAAGATTTACTTCACGAGCAAACTAATAGCTGGACAGGAGCTCTAGTCCTCTAAGCATTTCATTTCTTGACTGGTCCCTACTGTAATAGGAGAGGGATGACTAAATAGCCTCATTCCACCTTTTCCCAAGCAAGCCACGTACTATCACTGAAATGAATTGGGCCACAAGCTCTGCTTTTCTTGTTCTTCTATATCTTATGCTGAGTATGCCACTAGATGAAGTGTTTTTTACTATTTGGGTCTCTCTCTCATTTGATTTCAAGCACTTTTATATAAAATGAGGTCCTATTTGAATCAAGATATAAACAAATGTAACATGTAGGTAACAGCTGTTAACCTAGTTCGGGTTATACTTTCCCAACATTTTCCTTAGAGACTTAGGGGATTCAGCCTTAAATATGTCTTTTGGTGGTATCAAAATGAGCTGAACACAACACGCCCTACCTGTGTCCACCTATTGTTTCAAATTATTCAGTGTGTTTGGGACAGTCTTAGTCATTCTTTTATTATACACAATGGAAATTGTTAACCAACTTACCTGGGATCACTAAACTTCCCAGGTAAGTTAGCCATTGACAGAAGCTATTTCCAACATGTTTTTTTTTTTTTATGATGATATTCATTTTGGGGATGCTAACTTTAAAAAAAATGTTACTTTTTGTATTAAGCACAAAACTGGAGTGAGTCGCACTTGCTCTAGTTTGTGTGAACTTAGACTGGTGAAATATAGACCATATTTCACTGGGGAAGATTGTCTGTTTTTAAAAAAAATAAATGCAAAGAACCCCCAAAATACTATGTATCCTTTGAGCAAGTTCTCTAAGTTAAAGAGTGACCAAAGATGCCATTTAATAAAGGCAACTAGAGAGTGCAGGAGAGAGAATGCAAAACCTGAATTCAAGTCCTGCCTCAGACACTTACTATTTGTGTGATTTTGGGCATAGCTTTTTTTACCTGTCAGCCTGTTTATTCACGTGTAAAGTGAAAATGATAATGACATCTACCACTCCATATTGCTATGAGGCTGAACCGAGAGAATATTTGTAAAGCACTATGTAAGATAACTGCAAAGCCCCTTTTCCCATCTTACTAATCTAAATCTAAAACTATCATAATTTGATGAGGAGCAAACCATCCCCTCCCAATCTGCAATTTTTTTGGATACTTTTGACCTATATAGTAATTTGCTTAGCGACTGATGCCTAGCATGCCATCACTTTAAATTCAATGCTGGTACATCCTTAAAATGCAAATGGCTCTCTCCTTTCAGAAGGTTCTTTGACTAAGGTGAAAGTGAATTAACACTTCAGACAATACCAGTGGTCTAAATCACTGGAGAGAACTATTTATGCATATGTCATCAGAGCAACTGTAGAAAAGTATTTATGATCTCATAACCTCTTAACACATGAGATCATTTGGACATAGTCATGCTCACCCCCTTTCCTGACCCTTCATTCCATTGTGCTAGACTGTCCTGTCCCACAAGGTCATAAGTCCTAAATAACAAAAGACCATTTGACATGGGACCAAAAGGGTATTAACCCTCTCTTCTGGAACTACACAAAATGTCAAGACTCTCAAATATTCGTGAGCAGAAGCAATACAAACTGATTATAAAAAAAACAGAACAAAACAAAACACCCCATCTCTCACTCGGACAAAACCTGTATACTTGTGTTCAACAACTTTTGTAGGTCAATGGCAGACTTCCCTTTTGGTTACAACTTTGTCCCATTAATTCTCACATTTCAATTTAACCAAACAACAATGTACTTGAAAACAACCTTCAATTTCCTAGGGGCCCTAAATAAAAGGAATCTAAACAATTCAACTTTAATAATGGAAAACCTCCCTCTCCCTGCTAAGTAAGGAACCCAATGAAGTGTTACAAGAAATGCATGGTGTGTGCCTGTCAACTCTCCAGTGAGCCATATGTAGGGAAATAAGTTAACCAGTCATAATATCTTGTATGCAAGACCATCCTAGGAGAACTAACATTGTGGGCGAAGAACTGAGGAGGGAAATCAGTGTTGACATTGTTTATGCAGCTGACAAATACAACTTCAGTGCTGTCAGACACTTGATAAGCTTTGAAACAAAATAAAGAATACATAAATCAACAATTATGTCTAAGTTTTAAGTTCTCTTTTTTTTGGTGGGGGGGAGGGAGCATTTGTTTTTCATAAATACAGTATGACTCAATAAAGGGTGAGCTTGAAATCCTAGTTGACCCTGAGTTATTTATGCACCAATAAATATTGATTTTTAAAAATGCTGTTTAGGTCAACTGCTATACCATCAGGAACAAAGAGCAGTATGATTAATAGGGGCCATATGTAGCCTGTATCTATTTTCTTACAGAGTAGAAAGGGAAGAAATGCTTAGGAGTCATCCCTTTCATACCTTTTTATTTCTTCCCTCACAAAAACAAGCATTGGTCTCAAATGGATGTGGAATTAAAAATGTACTTTTTCTAGAACCCTATTTTTTATTTATCATTTAGAGAACTCATTCAATGCTATTCTTAACAAAATCAATAACTTGGATAAATGCATGCATTCTATCATTAAAACTAACTCATTTTGTGGTTACAGAATAGGTAGTAGTAACTGGAGGAAGGGAGCGCATCTTAGCATCACATTCTGTAACAAAGCATCAAAAGTAGTTAGAAACCACGAGATAAAATCACAGAACCATCAAAGTAATTATCCCAAAAGAAGGAAAAACTTCAAAAACCACACTCAAATGAAGGGACAAAAAAATAAAGTTTCTGGACCTAGCAGTGAAATTATAATGATATAAACCTGGAATAATCTGCTGTAAAAATCATGACACTTCTATCTGTAAAAGAGTTATGTATGGACTGTGTATAAAATGCCATCAGGAAATAAACAATGGCTTGAGTACATCTTTAGCATCCTGATTACGTGCAATTAACAAATTGAACGAATGCTTTAAGTGCTTACTGTGAGCCAAGCACTCTGTTCAAAGGAAAACACTAAAATGAAGAACACTGAATATGTTCTCAACATGCAACACTTCCTTTATCTTAATGACCCTTCTTTTCATTTATAAATGTAAAAAGTAAAAGAAATGCCAATGTGTTAACTATACTGTTTTGGGCAAGAGATGCTTCACCTTAGTCAACTATGTGGCAAAAGAACAACCAGTCAGATGAAAAGTTAGTAAAAGTGGAGTGAAGAGACAGCAGAAGTTGGTGTCTAAAGGCCTGGTTTGAGTCCTATTCATGTCAAGGAGTCACCTAACCTCTCGGAGTGATAGTTTCCTCATCTGTAAAAGGTCTGGACTCCCCAGAATTCTTGTGAGGAAAGCACCTCAATAACCAAAGAGTTATGTAAATGTGAGTTTAGGAAAATAGGGCATGGATCTTTGATTTTATTGGCATGAGGAAGTCCTGGGTATGAAAACTCCCTCTCCCACTGCAGGTCAGCAACTTCTCCATAATTTATAGCCTTAAAGAGTCACCAAGAGTATTGAGAGATTGTGTGACTTGTCTGGGGTCACCCACCAACGATGTGTCAGAGATGGGACTGGGGCCCAGGTCTTGATGATTTTGAGACCACCTCTCTACTACATCAAGGTCACCTGCCATAAATGTGCTTTACTATTCATAATAATAAAATAGCATAATCTGTATCTCTCTCTGTATATTTTCTTCATTCTTGTTCATCGTAATATATTCATCATAAACATAACCAGGTGGAATCATAGAGGAGAACATAGCGATGTTAGGGAAAATATATTTTATCTAGATAGAGAATATCTTACCTTTAATTTCATGTTGACTTGCTTCCCGTCTCCTTTCCAGTTCTTTTCTGTCATAATTCAGCCTCTTCAAGCACATAATTCCATACTGTAAACTTGTTCTGTTGTGTTTTTAAAAGGGAAACAAACATTCATAAACATAAAACAATTGGTTCTTAGCTTAAAAACATAAAAGTTATTATTAAGCTTTTGTAGACTTACTCCAGCCAGCCAACATTAAAGTTCTAACAGCCAAAAGAGCAGACTACCTAAATGTGGGAACAGCACATTCACTAGTATGTTTTTTTTTTTTTAATTTCTTCCCTTGTGTGGGGAATGAAATTATAAACTTTTCAAACAAATAATGTAAATACAAATACCAGACAAGTGACTGAAAGAAACAGAAACAGAGATCAGAAGAGTTCTCCAGAGATCATAAAGTCTCCATCTTCCTGCCTTTAGGAAGCTGATTTATGAAATAATTTGGACTTAAATTATTGCCTTCTGAAAGTATTTATTGAGTACCTACTATACTCATCAAACTCTGCTAAGTGTGGAGGAATGCACAAGAGAGATTTAAGAGATATGGTGGCTGTCTCCCAGGAGCTTAGTGGAGGAAAGAAAGGAAGGAAGGAAAGAAGACAGTTTAAGTAACAATTTAAACCAGTGTGTAGTTTAGGCGTCCACGTGAAATGAATGGTTTGGGTAATAAATAGTAACGGGGCACAGAAAAGGGAAAGAACAATGGATACCAGGATAACATAGTAAGTATATCAGGAAGGAAGAAGGACTTGAGCCAGGGTGCTAAAAGATAGAAAAAGAAGGCTTTTTTTAGGCAAGAGTGATCCAGAAGAGGATATAGGATTTAGATCTTTAAAGAACCTTAGAGGTCATCTAGCCCAACCTTCCCATTTACAGATGAGGAAAAGAGATTTGGCCTAGTAAATGGTAAAGCTGGGAGTTAAAGGTAGGCATTCTCATGCCCGATCCAGCATTCTTTTCACTATCCCATGCTGCTTGGAGTTGAGATTGAGTATGGCATATTTGAAGAACAATGTGGAAACCACCCTGGGCCTAAGCAGAGGGCAGTGCTAAGAAGGTTGGGAAAGAAGTATGTTTCTTACATCTTTGAATCTCTGAAATAGGTGGTTATGGTGGCAATTTCATTCAATAAACTATTAAATACTAAATTCAAGTATAAAGCAGGATATACATTCCCTTAAGATGTCTGTAAGTATCACAGAATATGTCTTGCATAAGGTTCAAGATAAAGAATGTCTATTGATGGCTAGGTTCTTTTACACACTTCTATCGGCAGATGGCATGGGCAGGGGCAATAATAGCACCTCTCTTACAAGTCTGTTTTAAGATCAAATGGAATAATGTGTGAAAAGTGCTTTGTGAATCTTGAAGCACTATATAACTACTATTATTATTTTTATCATTCAATGATATTCATTGAATTGAGCCTAAGAACACTATAGTGTGTCGTTAGTGAAAGAGATTGTATCCATACAGAATAAACAAAATACATGGTATTTTTTTATATTAACCTTCAGTTTCTCTATCTTATCCATAAACATGTATTTCTTGGACAAGTATGACAGAATTACAGTTAATTAAACTAGAATTGAAAAGAAGGGAGAGATCAGACTGGAAAACATACGGTCTTTTGCACTGTGCTGCTCTTTAGTACCAATATTCGTAGTGAATCAATTTGAACCATCATCATCTCAGGAGAATGAAAATTACAATAGAAAGATGCTTGGTGGGATTAAGTAGGCTTCAGGCTGTTACCATTGATAATGTGTTTGAGATAAATGGTGTAAAACATTATCAAGGACACATACTAGCAGAAATGAGATAGGTTGGTCATGTGGAAATAGAGCCAACAGATTAATATTAAGTCAAGAGATTAATATGAAGAGAAGCAGGACTCTGCACTTTACATAAATCCCTATGGAAAATTGAAGGGAAAACATGGAAAACCATCACAGAGGATGAGAAAGTGAGAAATTATTTTATTTTGTGAGTGAAGAGAGTTGTAGTTCAATCATTTTTCAATCACGTCTAACTCTTCATGACCTCACTTGGGGTTTTCTTGGCAGAGATACTGGAGTGGTTTGCCTTTTCATTCTCTAGTTCATTTTACAGATGAAGAAACTAAGGTAAACAGGGTTAAGGGACTTGCCCAGGATCACACAGCTAGTAAGGGTCTGAGGCCAGACTGGAACTTGGGGAGATGAATCTTCTTGAGTCCAGGTGTGGCATTCTATCCACTGTGCCACCTAGCTGCTCAAGAGTAGAAAGAATACTCACACCATTAAAACTTATACTTATCCAAGTGCCAAGGTATGTTGGGAACATGGAGGTGGAGGATATGGACTTTGTTATTTTGACAATGGAAATCCATCCCTTAGAGGATCTGGTGTAGGGGTGTGGTGTGTTTTAGCAAGATTGATGTGGCAATACTTCTTTTAAATTCCATCAAGTCCAGGTATGGATCCTCAAAAGGTATGTCAGGAAACACAAGTGCTTGCAGGCCCTATTAAGTTGGGAAAGCTCTTTTTACAGGTGATGAAGTATAAGTCTTTTGTTTGAGAGCAAGCCTGGATGAGTTTGAAAAGGCTAAGCAACAGGTTGGCCAAAGAGTTGAATGGGATTTTTAGCTAAAGCAATTTTCCAAGATGATCTATTATGAAGGGGATGGGTTACATAATTAAGGAGAAAGTACCCACACTAATGAAATCACCGATGAATGAAATAATGTGGCATTAATGTTCAGGATGATTAGAGATGGCTAACAACAAGAAACAGGGAAACCAATCAGTAGGCTATTAGAGTACTCAGCTATCAAGTGATAAGATAAATAAGGGTGATGGCTATAAGGACAGAAATAAGAGAGAGATACGACACTGGAAGACTTTAAAGGGAATGTAAAGGATTTGCTAATTGATCCAGTATAGAGAATAACAAAGAGACTGTTCAAAAAGGAGTCTGAGGTATTAAGCATGAATTATCATTCATATGGATGGAACACTACTGATAGGATTTTGAAGTTGGGAGGGAGAAAGAGAATCCAAGAAATATAACAGTTTTCTTAAAATACATAGGTTACTCATTTTCATAATTAATAACTTATAGTCATCAGGAATAACTACCCTACCTTGTCTGAGTTTTATTCATAATTATTGGACCCTTAGGAATGTAATTTCTACTCCCTTGAGATATGTGTGTATACACACGTATGTATACATGTATGTTTATACATGTATATTCATGTATATGTGTGTATCTATATCGATATACCTATATATGTGTACATAATAAATATGCATGTATATATTGTGTGTGTGGATATATACATACACACATACAGTAAGGAAATCAAATTAGGTATTCAGGAATGCCGACAGCCATACACCAGCAATGATCCTTCTCTATGTCCAATCACATCGCCTAAGAAGGGGCAGACACAAATCTGAATGAATTGCTAAGATACAGTCCACTATGAAGGAGTTCTGGCATCTGTGCAGATCTGAGAATGAGAGGATAATGGGGTAAGGAGGCAGGGAAGTGTTATAAGAAGTTGCCTTTGAGAAAGCAGAAGAAAAGTGTCACATACATGCATATTCTAGGAAGCAGGCTTTCTATCAGTTTATATCATAATTTCTTTCCCCGAAAAAAAGTAATTTCTTTATAAAGGGAAAGAATTAGGGATATACAGTCTTCAGTCCACATCTAGAGAATTCTGTTCAGTTCTAGGTAGTACATGTTTAGAGGGATTATTGAGACTGGAATGTGTCCACAGAAAGGCTTCAAGGTTGGTGAGGTGTCTACAAAGTTAGCAAGCATTTATTAAACACTTAGTATGTGCTAGATGCTGGAGATACAAAGAAAAGCAAAAACCATCCATGCCCTTGAAAAACTCATTTATGCGTCGAGTCAACAGCATGTAAATATCTAGCTACATATAAAGTCTAAAAAAGATTAGATGGGTGGCAATCTCAGAGGGAAAGGCTGCCTGCAGAAGTGCATTTTGAAGGAAGCCAGGGAAGCTAAGAGGCAGGGATGATGAGGGAGGGCAATCCAGAGGCATGAAGGGCATTTAGTACAAAGGCATATTAATGGGAAGTCGAGTGTTGTATAAGAGCAACGGCAAGCTGGGTCATAGCCTATGTGGATGGGGAAGGCCATGGTTGGAGAAACCAGAAAAACAAAGGGTATTTAACTTGAAAAGAAGAGTTCTTGAGAGTTGTGTTAAATATTTGAAGGGCTACAACTCCCAAAAGAAAGCCTAATCATTTTGTAGGTCTTCAAAGGATCAAACTATGACTGAGTGAAAGTTACAAGAGGCAGATTTCTACTCAATATACTGGAGTGATTTCTAATGAATAAAATTTCTGTGCAGAAACAAAATGGGCTGCCTTGTGAGATGGTGACTCTCTGTCCCTTGCAGTTTTCAAGTGGAGGCTGAACAGCCACTTGTCATGGTTACTGTACAAGAAAATCTGCATTGGAAAACAGGTTGGACTAGATTACTCCTAAATGCATTTCTATCAGCAATATTCTTTATAATCCACAAAACAACGAATTGCAGATATAAATATGCATATTGAATCCAACAAAGAAAGGGGTTTTGAAATGTTTGACTTATATTACAACATGATCTCCCCTCAACATGGTCAGATAACAAATGAAGAAACTGCCTCCAAAAATTCAGAACCAGTTATAAATCCATTTGCCTTTACCCTTGCCCATCCATAGGGCCTCTTTGAACTTTCTCAATTCTCAGTAGGTGAAAGCTTTACATTGATAAGCTGTGTATTTTCCATCTATAACTGGATTAAATAGCACAGCATCCCACCTCTACCTTTGGGGAGTGGAGAGTGAAAATTCGGAACCAGTTAAAAGACCAGAAATATTTCCCTCAGGAACCAACCCCTTTTTGCTTTCTACTCTTCCAGGATTGTCATAGTCAACTAAAGAAAATCTGCCTTTCTATACTCCAGCATCATTATGTACTTTGCATAGAAATTTTACAAACTTTTTGAGGTAGAAAGGAATGCATTCCATTTGGTTTAACTTTATAAATAACAGTTGCCCCATTTTAAAAAAATCAATAAAACCCAACTGACAATTTCTAGAAGGACTAGGAAAAAAAAAATAAGGCTATGCGTATCCTTGTTATTCTGCACAGAGGAATTGTGTTCTTTTGTTATACAACAAGTTTTCATTGTGCACTTGCTGAGCGTACCCTACTGTCTCAGAGCTCAATCTGTTGCCTCAATGTACCCGTGGAAAATGGATGTGTTGATGCTCAATATGTCACCTATTGTGCAAAAATTGATATTTTTACTTACTTTTCTTATAGAAGAATGCATGTTACCCATTTTGATTCCATTCTGATTAGTCTTTGGAGAAAACAACAACAACAACAACAGCAGCAACAACAACCTACCTATGAAAGCTATCCACCATTTTTAAATGGACCCGGAGATCTTTTTTCGTCAGGTGATCTAACATTCTTGCATCTACCAGGCATTCCATGAAATAACTTCTGTATTGAGGTAATCCCAAGCTGGGAAGCCACTCATTACCAATCCACTCATGATTCATATCACCATAAGCCAGAGTCTGCAGAAAAACAGGACACTATAATTTATTTATAGCAGTCAGTTTCCAAGCTGAAAAACAAGACGGCGATTTTATCACATAACCCATTAAAATGCCCCACTAAACCTAGCTTGTTTGTTCCATTCTCATGATGTATGTGAAAAGAGCACAGTTCACTCATAGCTTAACAATTTCTATCTGCCTTACTTTAGGGAAAAGAAAACAAAGATTTCTCCATGCAAATAGAAGTGATTGCTGACTCAGTTTGTACTTGAAATCTGTGTCAACACTCATCAAAAAAAAAAAATGTCTTGATGGTAAGGAAATACATGTGGTGAAATGTATTCCCTAGACTATTAACAGATCCATCTCACTGTGCATCTTGAGTTACGCATTTACAGATTTAGAGAGATGGAGTTGTATTGAATTAAGTTGGTCAGTTATACTTGGTATTGTTGTACAAAAAAAACAAAACTGCAAAATAACCCTTAGGATTGGAACTCCAATGACTGAATTATTTAATGGCAGAGAATTGAAATATTCTAGGGAATTCCTACAAAATGCACTACTTTGGGTTTATTATTTATTTGTTTGTTTGTTTATTTATTTATGGTGAGGCAATTAGGGTTAAGTGACTTGCCCAGGGTCACACAGCTTGTAAGTATCTGGGGCCAGATTTGAACTCAGGTCCTCCTGACTCCAGGGCTGGTGCTTTATCCACTGCACCACCTAGGTACCCCATTTTGGGTTTATTTTATGCAAAATGAATTCAACTTAACAACCAAAGAGCTTGCTCTTTGCAAGTATTACTGAAAGGCAGCATGTATCCAATAGTAGAGATAACTCAGGCTCTAATTTTGAAGAACTTATAATGAAATGAGGAGATGAAATGCGCACAGAGAATACTGATGGAAAGGAAAAGGGGAGAAATACAAAGGAAAAAGCGAGGTAGATTGCTATGATTAATTTGAGGTAGGAGAGATTGCTTCTATGTGTGTGGGGGAGGGGATATTCAGGGAGTGACAGATGAGAAAGAAAAACTTGAATGAAGGAGGTATTTTAACAGATTACAATGGAAGTGCATGGCATGGGAAGGATTTCCCTCTAGACCCTGAGGATACTGTTAGCAAAGGAATTAAGATAAAATAAATTTTGACAGAAACAAAAAGAACAGAATGAGAATGGGAGATGAAAAGTAGATGTTTGTTAAAAATGTAGAATGTTGTTGTTGTTTAGATGTTTTCAGAGGTGTCCGACTTCGTGACTTCATTTGAGGTTTTCTTGGGAAAGATACAGGAGTGGTTTGCCATTTCCTTCTCTAGCTCATTTTACAGACAACGAAACAGGGTTAAGTTCTTAGCGTTACCCAGCTACTAAGCGTCTAAGGCTAGATTTGAACTCAGGAAGATGAGTCTTCCTGACTCCAGGCCTGGTGATCTATCTACTGTACCATCTACTTGCCCCCAAAATGTAGAATACATACACATAAAGGATGGGATAAAGCTAGGAAATATGGGATAGGTCTAGAAAGGTGGGGTGGATTCAGTCTGCAAAGGGCTTCAAATGAAAGAATCTTGTTTAGTCTTTACTCCTTAGGTAGTAAATGTTATCATTGTGGTGCCTTTAGAAACATTAAACAGCAATGTGAAAGATGGATTGGGGAAGGGTTGAATGGCAGCAGAGAGACATGTCTGTCTTATTACAATAGTTCAGGCAAGATGTAATGAAGACTTTATCTAGTGTAGTCGTGTGGGGATGGGATGGATGTGATTGCAAAGACGGGATCAACAAATCAGAAACTAGGTACTCAAAGATAATTTCAAAGTGATGATGACCTTGGGCAACTGGCAACATGGTGATGGTGATGTCATTAATGGAAGCGGAGGAGCGAGTTTGGGGAGGGAGGGCAATGAGGGTTCAGTTGCATTTGGATTAGCAGTGGGATGTTGGGATGGAGTTATAGATTAAAGAATCATCAACAGAGAGATGAATAGGTAGAATTTCCAAGGGAGAGAAAAGAGAAGAATCTCTCGGGGGTACAAGGTTTAAGGGGTGGGGGTGGGATGAGAACCCAGAAGAGGAGACAAGGTCATGATGTTAGAGATGGGCAATGAAGACTATTAGATCATAGGCCTAGAAGTGAAAGGGACCTCAGAACTCAACTAGTCTTAGCCCCATCATTTTATAGATGAGGAAACCAGGGTCTGGGAGATCAAGTGACTTGCCTAAGTTCCCATAGGTCACAGAGAGGCAGTATTTGAACCCAGATGCTCTGGCTCCAAATCAGTACTCTTTTCTCTATGCCATGCTACCTCCCTTTTTTACACTGATGAAGTCATTGGTCTAACCAAAACCAAAATAAACACATGCTCCTCCCTCATATGGTTAAGGTATGAAACGAGTATTGAGAGCTTCCTAATTCCTAATAAAACCATCTGGGTGTGCAGATGGTTTTGTGATGAGTGCTTGAAGATGACAATTCGGTTCAATCTGCCAGAGGTATGTGTCTGAGAAAGGATATAGATATATGTATAGATATATATATATACATATATGAGTGTAAATGTATATAGGTATAAAATATATACACACACATATAGGTATTCATGTAGTTATATATGTAAACGCACATACATGCACATACGTATATGTGTATATATGAATCTATACACATCTATATGTATACATCTATTTTAAAAACATATGCATATTGATTGAGTCACGCTGGACGTCCAAGTTTCCTTTGGGCAAAAACAACATGGATGATCTAAAGTCAAGCCCAAGAGATATGTTAACTAATTCTCCAGTACTGTGACCAAGGTGAGCTTATAACGTCATAGCGTCAGGGATCACCAGGACTTAATCTCAGTGTGAATTTCCCAAGAGCCCATCACTGGATGACCACTTCACACCTCACCCTCGTTCACCATTCCCTAAATATCCTTTTAGTGTTGAGCAAACTGAGCTGGAGAAAGAATACAGGGTTCAATAGCATACATTGAATCCCTGGTCTCAAAATGTATAAATGAACTGTGCACTGAGCAAACAGTTTAAATGTCTAAATTAATGTTCTCTGCTAAAATATTATATAGGCCAGCACTTTACAGGTATTGATCACTTAGAAATTGTCTTATGACTGGAAGTCACTAATTTTCCGCTAATTAATATGTTTTCTTTTAGAATAATCTGGTTTGGTAAATGTTTCTGCTTGTAATGAGGGAATATTTTAAAATATATGGGCTACTATTTTCAACTTGTATAATGAAGTCAGTATTTTGCAGTGTTTATGATGCTAAAAAAGAAGTACTGTGTCCTTGTCCATGTTTCTTGCTAATTCATATGAATTTCTATGAATAAACTATTGCCTTAGGTCAAGTAAATGTTAACATGATAAATTCATACCTGGGCCCAGCTTCCTTCCTCAGATTCTTTCTGTGTTAGCAGAAACAGCATGTAGTCATTAGTAAAGCAAGGAAAAATAAAATACATCAAATTAGTCCAGGGGTAAGAAATTCAAAAATCATGTTAATTATGAAAAAGTTAATAATTCTAATGTATACACAGATGATTACAGACACAGATTTTTTTCTCACAAGAGCAGTAGTCAATTAAAAGGAATTCCTAAGCAATTAGATTTTTTTTAGCACATTTTCATACCCATAAAACCATACTGGGCTTTCATAATTTTGTGAAAATTTGTGTTTATCATTCCCAGTTTTTGGCTACTATTTCTGAGGAAAACATACATCTTTCAATATTTGGTCACCAAAGAATTTGGGGAAATTAGCATGCATAAGAAATTACTGATTTGAACAAGAGTATTTCTGTTGAAAACTCACATACAGTGAAAGAAACACTTGGTTTTCAAATTCATCTAATAGTAAGAATCTGCATTATCCACAATAAAATTTTTGACTGGATAACATACATATATCACAGTGTTCATGACAATTCCTCAGTTATTAAGTGGTTAACAAATCTGTGTTAAACTCTTCTTTGAATTATAAACAGTAACAAAAAAAGGGGAGGTTCAGTTGTTAAAAATAATTACAAAAATTCCACCTTTGATATCTTAAACTGTGGAATTAACATACATACAATTCGATTTGCAAAACTGTGTTCTAAATAATTCAGCCACGAATTACTATGCAATTTAAAAAAGAGTGAAACAAAAACTTTACACTAATTCTAGAAACCAGAATTGTAATCAGAACAGTGCCATCAGGGCCTTGCTACCAGGAAGCCACAATGCAGAGGACACTGAGGGCTCTTCTGGTTCCTCTAGCATCGTCAAAATAATTAAGCTTAGCACTGTGTTAGCAAGAATAATTAGTTAAAATAGGAAGCTACCAGATGGTATGTTTTCACACCAATACTATAAATATAGCCAAGATGACCAAGTGAGAGAAACCACATGAATATTTTGTATGTCCTGTGCTAAAATTTTACTCTGAAGCCCTTTTTAATTCAAAAGGCTAACGTGGCTTAGTTCCTAACTAGTTGATTGCCAACGCTGGACATGATTAAAACTGTTATTACTAATTAATTCAAGGTGATTTTTAATGTTCTATAATTTCTAATGGCATCTTTCATGGTTTATGACTCTCGAAACTATTAATGTTGGCATTCTTTTTTTTGGTCTTAAGATTGAACAAAACTAAAAATACTGACCGTTTTGGCTGGAGCTGCAAGGTTTTCCATTTCTTCATGGGTCACCCAAACATTGCCTGAGGGCTAAGGACAAGGCCCACAGGGAAGTAGGTAGAATCCACATTAGGTAAGCAGTGGTAAAGAAGAAAGGCAGCACCACTGTAAGTCAACAGCGGATAGTATCACCATCAACATAGCTACGTTCTTGCCTCTAGAGTGAGCATGACGTGACATAGAAGTCCACAGGGCTTTTTAAAATCTTTTACATTTAAGAAGACTAAGCAATAAGGGACATGCCATTTACTCTAAGTAGATTCAAAACCAACGTTCTCTTACTATTAATCAGGAAAAGGAAGGACTAGGGACTGGACCTATGCTTTCATTGACGTGGGGAACTCCCAGATGAGAAAACTCCATCTACCAATGTAGATTGTCACCTTCTCTTCAATTTATAGTTGCTCTAGGTAACTCTCTTATAGAGAGAATTAAGCGACTTGCCCAAGGACACACCATCAGTAAATAAAGAGGCCAGACTGGAGTCCAACTCTTCCTGGTCCCAACACCAATTTTCTAACCATTATGCAACAGCTGCTTCTCCAGAACAAAAGGGAAACAAAAAAGCAAACCATAAATTACAAAACAAAAACAACAACAACTAATCAGCTCTGTTTTCTGGAACAACAGAGAACTGACCCAGGGTGTTAGATATTCTTATAAAGCCTTTTTTCAGTAGGTTATAGCATGTAACACTCTATAGTGTTATAGAAAGTCATGTTAAGTATCAATATTGTTTTTAGAAAGAGAATATCAAAAACAGGTATATATCTGTATATATGACCTTGACAGAGTCACGGTATTAAACACATAACTTTTATCTTGATCATTTCTTCCTTTTGCTATTTCTTAAATACATAGCTAGGTGGTGCAGTGGATAGAGTGCCAGGCCTGGAGTCAGGAAGACTCATCTTTCTAAGTTCAAATCTGGAGACACGTCTTGCTGTGTGACCCTGCGCAAGTCACTTAACTCTGTTTGCCTCAGTTTCCTCATCTGTAGAGTGAGTTGGAGAAGGAAATGTCAAATCACTCTAGTATCTTTGCCGAGAAAACCCCAAATGGGGTCATGAAGAGTCAGACATGACTGAACAACAACAAAATACATAACATTCATATATTTTGTTTTGAATGAAAAAATCAATAAAGACATGTTTTGTTTAAAAAAATTAACCATGTTTTGTTTAAATGTCTTTGTAAAAAAATACAAAATTTTTATTTGTTCAGTCATATTTCAGTCATGTTCAAGGCTAAGAAAGGGCAAATAATTTGTCCAGGGTCACACAACTAGCAAGATTCTGAAATGGATTCAAACTCAGGTCTGACTTCAGGTCCACTTAATTCACTTTTCCCTCAAACTAGACCTCAAGACTTGAGCAATACTGAAGAACATTTTACTTAGGAAGCAGAATTCTATTAATTTCACTTGTTTTTAAAGTTACCTTCCATTAACATGCATTCTATAATTAGATGTTTTGTAGTTTCTATAAATTTAGGGCAATAGGGCAAAATACAGAGAAGTTTGTAACCAGAATCCATTCTCCAAGTGATTCTATTTTCATTGTAAACTTTCTAGAAATGCTGAGACGTTTCCCAAACTCTATATGATACCCTGGTAAATACAACAGCCTTTGCTCACCCTATAACCATTCGGTTGCTTGGTCTTCCCAGTTCTGCAAGGTAGTCAGCACTGTAGAATTCTAAGGACAAAGGTGTTGTCAACCCAAATCACCAGCACAGTTCCCCTACATCCTTGCACCTCTGATCTATAAAGCCTTATGAATAATCTAATTATGAACATTTTTTATTGGGTACCTACTCCCTGATTGGTCTGTCCATTAAATAGAATAATAGCGCTGGAACAGAATACATTTTCAAATTTTGTCAGAAATTTTAAAAAATCTGAAAACTGACAGAAAGAATATGCATTAGATTTCTTACCCCTGATCACCCACAAATTTCATAATGTGCTTAAATCCCATTTCTTTCAAGATAAAACCAAAAGAAAATTTATTTTTAGAATCTAGAAGGTATGGAAAGTTGTTATTTTTTTCTTGGCTTATAAGGTCATATTTATTTTAATAAATATGAAACTTTTTTACACCAAATGTCATCCTGAATATTTGAAACATTAAATCATTTGGAAGAAATGGATTTTATAGACTACCTTAGGAGTGCAGGCTATACTCACTCAGCTGTCACTTTCTTCTTTCCACCCAATGATCTTCATTATTTGCCTGAGTTATTTTATTTACTGTTTGTTCAAAGTGCCCTTCACTGATTACTTAAAAGAAAATTAGTTTAATCCAGTCTTGGTCTACAAGTTTGTTGAATCAATGTCTTAATTTAGATCCCAAATAGTGAAGATGTTGTGACCTCTCTGACAAATGCTAGGTTAGCACTATAGAAAACTAAATTTTCCTTAGAAGATCCTCAAGAAGGAGCCTAGGTTCATTTAAGTAGAGGTTTGCAGAGGACCAGGTTAGATAACTGCCTTCTGCCTTTTTCCAGTCTTTCCAAGTAAATTGAAGTATATAACTGAAGCAATTCTTGAATCACAGATGACCAACTTTTATAATAACAGGAGAATAATAATAACTCACATTAATATAGGACTTTAAGGGTTGCAAAATTCTTCATAGACTTGATTTCTTTTGAGCCTTAACATTCCCCTGAAAGTTATTATCTCCACTTTACAGATTAGAAAACTGAGGGTCAGAAAGATAAAGTCTTGCTCGGTGTCACAGGGATGCAAAAACTCTAAGGTGGGATTCCAAATGTGATGCAGTAGAAAAAGTAATAGCTCTGGAGTCAAAGAATCTGGGTTCAGATTCTACCTCTGACACTACCTGTGTCATTGACCTTTCCTGTACCTGCATGCCCTTGTCTGTAAAATGAAAGGGTTGAACTAGATGGATTCTGAAATTCTTTCCAGTGCTTCACCTGTAATTTAATGACTTTAGCGCCAGCTTTATCTGTAATACTGGGTGGCCACTCTAACTAGGGTCTGAAGTTATTGACCCTAATTCTTCACAGGTTGGAGGGAAAACAAGTAACTGGACAACCTATCAATGCTCCAGGCACCAGGAAAGCCCATCACTCCCACTGTTGTACTAACTAGACATTCCTTGGGTTAACAAATTCATTAGCTTTTTAAAACAAATACTTTATGCTTCTTCTGAAATCCCTTAAGTGTTACGATGAAGGTTAAGTCTGTCCTTAATTCTCAATTTGCTGGAAGGTGCTTCTCACCTTACTTTCCTGTAGCTAGAGCACTGAAGGATAGAGTGTGAAGTCAGTCTAGGGTGAAAGTCTGATTTGAGAAGATGGGGAAAACAGGTCGGGAGGAGATGCTGCAGTTGGACAGCCCCAAAATAACACTGGGCAACTGGGGCAGGTGACAGGAAATGGAAATAAGGTACAGGCTGGGTCCCACCACCAAACTCCTCCTTCTTGGAAGTGCTCAGGGCTCTGTTGGCCAACAGCAATCAACACCATTTATTAAGTGTTTGGTTATTGTTCAGTCATTTTCAGTTGTGTTCAACTCTTTGTTACTGCATTTGGGGTTTTCTTGGGAAAGATACTTGCCATTTCTTTCTCCATTTCATTTTATAGATGAGGAACTAAGCCAAACAGAGGTTAAGTGACTAGCCCAGGGTCACAAAACTAGTAAGTGTCTGAGGCCAAATTTGAACTCAGGAAGATGACTCTTCCTAACTCCAAGCCATTGTACCGCCTAACTGCCCATATATGTGTTTAGTAATTACCAGATCTTACAAACTATATAAGAATACAGTGAACCTTTCTTTTTTCTTTTCTTTTTTTAACCGTTCCAATGATTAACAATTTGAAACAAATAAATCCAACAAATCAGAGGTGATGACATGTCCCAGAAGCCAGAAAGGTAAGAGAAATAGATTGATATTTTGCCCTTTATTATTATTATTTTTATCAAATGCATCTTAGCAAAAGTGATTTTTTTAAAAAAAGGCTCAAAGTCTGAGTGTCAGCCAGCAGGGAGGGACAGAGTAAACCAGAGTTCACTCCAAATAAAACCCTGAATATATCTGATTAATGCTGTACAGTTAACATTCAGAAGTAATACTAAGATGACATGTTGTCATATGAAAATTTTGAAAAGAAAATTTTAGTGGAATCACTGACAAAAAATAAATAAACCCTTTCCTCATGAAGTCATAGGGGGAAAAGGCAGCAAACCAAAATAAATCTTCAAAGAGTTTATGGGATAAGGACCTGCTAAATTATAAAAATTAATTAGGAGCAAAAGAAAGATGGAAAATAGCCAGATGGCATGAGAATGACAGAAAGTGGCTGTACCTAAGGACTGTCCAGAAAGCTAACCTAGATCAAAGGGATTTTTGTCACTCTATCAGTAATGCTGGGACATTCTGACTTGATAATTCGGTTTTTGATATTTCCCTGGTTTTATCAGGGTGGTTTAAAGTATTCATCAAAATAGGTTTTACTTTATTGGATTTTATTTTGTAAATTATACGTTAATTCTATTAAATCTTTCAAGAATATGTACACATGTATGTATGTGTATATGCATATAAATGTGTACATACATGTTATATATACATATATATACACATGCATATATTATGTAGCTCTATGAAACCACGTATTTTATCTTAGGAGAAGTTACGTGAATAGAAACTGAAACAAATCTAAACAATGGTTCAGAATGTTGATGGGCAGAAAAAAAAATTAGAGCTGCCAATATAACAAGGAACCCATTGAGTCCATACCACAGGGAAAGTGGTGTTCTCATGAGCTTGGCCTCAATAAGTCCCACTCTTGCAACATGCGTAGGAGTCTAAGTCAAGGTTTGAAGTCCTAGGCTGGCCCAGAGATGAATATTGTCCATATCAAGTAAAAGCAGGCCAATAAGTTATTTTGACCATTATAAATACCCAAATGAACTATAAAGGACATATGAAGAAAGATGCTTTCTGCATCCAGAGAAAGAACTGATAAATAGAAGTACATATAGAAGAATTTGACATGTATTTATATATACATATATGTATATAGACCTATTTGTGTCTAATGGTAGCTATCTCTTGGGATGGTGTGTGGAAGGGAAGAAAAAAATAAATTTACATGATAATTTTGTTGTATATTTGAAAGAAATAACAAGTTGTGCAAAGTAGGTTTGCAGTTTCATGGGCAATAATCTTTTTTTTTATTGTACTATGTTATGGAAATGCTTGTTTTATTCCATAAATTGAAAAATAAAATAAAAAGCAGGAAAGACAAATAGAGCCTCCAGGGTATCCAAATAATGCACTTGGTACTGAGAAATGCAAAGAAATCATATATGTTTTTGAAATTTAGTTTTGTGCTATTTAAATTGTGAATAATTTATGTTTTGAATTATGGCTTTCAGGCTGTGTGGTTTTCACTTTTCATAGCTGGTGTTTTCTTGAAGAATTATATGTAAATCAAACTCTAAAAAAATCAAATTATATTTGAAAAACACTAGGGGAACTTATTGTTTAAAGGAACCCCTTTTAAGTCCAACTAACAAAAGGAAATAATTATTTGGCATCTTATCTCTTTAAAGATATTCTTCTTCTTCTTCTTCTACTACTACTAGTACCACTACCACTACTATTACTAGTACTACTACTACTACTACCACCACCACCATTACTACTACTATTACTATCACAACTACTACTACTACTACTACTACTAATCAGTCATTTTCATGTGGATATAGTGTAATACAGTGGAAACAGCATTTGGCTCTGAGGTCAAAGTACCTAGATCCAAATTTTATCTCTAATTTTTATTAGCTATGTGACCTTGGACAATTCACTTACCTTCCCTGAACCTTACTTTTCTCATTTGTATAATGTGGCAGTTGGATTAGATGATCTCTAAAATCCTTTATAACTCTTAATCTATGAACTTCTTGGTATCACTCTCGATGGTTAACAAAATGCAAATCTCTTGGACATGATTCTCTTGATACAATAGAATGCAAGTTCCTTTAGGGCAAGAACTGGTTTGTTTTTTCTCTTTGTATCCTACACACCAAGTATATTACTTAGCATGTAATAATAATCAGTTTATATCATTGGATGTACTTTAAGGAGGGGACCCTAAGATAACCGGGCCCAGCTTCAAAGTGCATGAAAACCTCCCAGTGTAATATCTATCTCAGTGGATATCTGCACACTGATCTCCATGTAGATTACTCTTGGGATGGCAGAGCTGATTTTATTTTAACTTTACCTTGAATTATATCATTTAACTTAGTTATACAGGGTGGCCATAACATAAAGGAGAACAATGAGGCAACTTCCACAGCACAGTGGAATGAACACTGTTTCTATATTTAGAAAACCTGGGTTCATTTCCTACTTCTGAAAGTCATTTAAGTACCAGGGGCATCTGATTCTTCATGTGTTATAAAAAGGGTGGGCGTACCTGATGGTCTGTAAAGATTCTTCCTACTACATAACTATGATCTTTTTTTTTCTTTTATGACTTTTTTTCTAGCAGAAGTTCAAGTTATAGTTTGAAAAAAATAACTTCTAGATCCTTTAAAAGTTTGCATCTCTGAGACTAGAATCTAGCCTTTGGGAAGGAGAGGGAAACAAATGATAAAAACAGATATTGACAAAGTCTATTTTAAGCTGATATATAAACATATACAACAAAAGAAATACTTTCTCACTCAAATTTTAGTCCAATAGATAGTACGCTGAGCTCAGAATCAGAGCTAAGTTCAAAATTCAACTGTGATACTTTCTAGTTGTGTTACTATAGCTAAGTAACTTAATTTCTTTGAGCCTTATTTGTGCTCTTCTGTACAATGGCAAGAGTTATAATACCTATCACATAATGGGGATAGTTGCACTTATAATACCTACCATACATAATACCTATCACATATGAAGCACAAGCTAAGGAAAGCATTTCATAAACCTTAATGTAGTATTTTTGAGCATTAGTATTACCTAAAAAATAAAATTCAATTTTACCACTTGGAGTCATTGGTCCACAGTACACATTTTTCTTATTCTTCACTATTGTACTATGGATAAGGAAATGGCAAATCACTCCAGAATTCTTGCCAAGAAAACCCCATGCACAGTATGACCCACAGGGTCACGAAGAGTCAGACACGATTGAACAATGAACAACAATAATTTTACAAGACTCCGGGTAGTAACTGTGATGTGAATCTCTCAACTATGATTGCAGATCATCTAATAATCCACCGGAATGTCACCTCTTTGAGAGCAACGACTATCTGTTTGCCTCTTCTATATCCTCAGCCTTTGTATAATAAGTGGCACATAATAAAAGGTTTATAAAGGCTTACTGACTGACCGTAACTTCTGAAAAGGCAAACTTAGGCATGAGCTAAAGAGAAGGATGGCTTAGCATCTGGGATGCTAAGAGTAAGAACTACTATTTAAAAAATGGTGCCGTGGGACATAAGATAATGGATCAACTTTTATTCTGTCTACAATCTCCATAGATTTGCGCTTACTGAAGTTTTCCTAAGTGTCTGAATTTGTCACTACCTTTTCTTTTTATTTGGCCATATTTAAACACATACTGTATTTTGGGAGTATATGAAAACACGAAGGAAGCTTAGAGGCTAAAGAAGAAAAAATTTAAAAACAGATTATGAAGAGACATAATACCAGCTAGTAGTTATGAAAAATTAAATCTGAAAGTATCTTTATTCATCCTCAGGCAAACTGCTTAAATGAGAAATAGGTCATATAAATGATTCATCTCCTATTTGGAAGAAAGCATCGGTCTTAGGACAATTTTTCATATAGAACATGCTATGGGTGAAGCTTTCTTATAAATGCTCTATTTGGATTATGTGAAAGAGGGAAGTAAGCATCTCAGTTATCGATCTAAACTTTCTAATGATTATTCAAATGCCCAGATCTTTTAAAATTTTCTCAGTCACTCTAACAACACCATAGAATACTCAGTTGATAAATGTATCCTTCCAGTCTGATAGGAAAGATGGCTCCATACAGGAAAACTTATTACAAGTAGCAGCAAGGTTAATGAAGTGCAAGCTTCATCTCTTCAGAATAATTCATACTAATTTGGAAGGGTGTGTTGCCATAGCTTCCCAGAGCAGACTTCAAAATGCCAGCACTGTTCAACACTGGAGTGGGAGAGGAGACAAGTGGAAAGTGACTCACCGTTCGAGATGTAGGGGGAGCGGATGGGCTTGTTAGGGAAACCATCTCCTGGATTGCTAATCGGAGTTTCAGGCGATGCAGAGGGTTGCTGATTCCTATTTCTCTCTGGATCTCTGTGTCTGACAGAGCTGACATGATAGCTCCACTCTTGACATTGGCCCGGCAAGCTGCAACATACCAGGCAGGCATTCCCAACCACAGCTATAGGGATAAGGGAAAGGGTGAAATTAATAATTACAAGCATCCAAATTTCTCTTTTAATTGAGCTCTTCCCAAACTGGTTGGAATAAATATAACTCTTCTGGTTTAAAATCATCTTCCTGGGTGACTGTGAGCAAGTCAGTATCTTGAGGCTTATTTTCTCTTTTGTTAAATGAAGGAGTTTGGCTAAATGCCCCTGTGGTCCTTTCTCCTTCCACGTTTATACTCCTGTGATCACGAAGCTTCCTCTCTGGTGTTGCAACAACTTGAGGAAACACAGAGAATTCCAGATAATTCAGTTCTAACTAGATTAACATAATAGAATTATAAGGTCAGGGGCCTACATTGACATAAAGTCCTGTAAAACTGACATTAACAGAAATCATAAGATAGCAAAGCAGCACAGTCTAGTGGAAGGAATACCATATCTATAGTCAGGAATTCTGTCTTTTCCTTGCTACTTATGTGATCCTAAGAAATCATAACTTGAGTAATGAATCCTTAAGCAGAAGTTCTTAAGGTGGGGTATAGAAATCATTTTATCTTTAATATTTTGATAACTGTATTTCTATACAATTGGTTTCGTGTGTAATCCTATATGTTTTATTTTATGCCCTTAAAACCATTATTCCGAGATGGTGTTTCATAATCAACTCTCCAAACTTTTAAGTTCTTACAACTTACATCTTGTACTATAATCAGGATGAGGAAGGAAAGAGAAAAGAAACACAAAGGGCTGCCTTACTTATCAGGAAGAATGAGATCCTGGATGTCACTTAACTCCAGTGACAGGGAAGAGAAGGGAAATCAATTAGTCAGTCAACAAAATGTATTGTCTACTACCTTCTGGGCACTCTGCTTGGCCATGGGAATACAAAAACAAAAACTGAACAATTTTTGTCCTCAAGGAACGTACATTCTATGGAGGACACATATTACTGCCAGGACAAGAAGATATGACATGAGGGAATCTATTGTACCTGGAACAGTTAGTCAAATCAGGCTCTTGGCAACTCTCTTATGGGTTTCTATTTTAAAGTGGGAGGTGCTGTCTGATATTCTGAAATGCATGAGAATCATGGGAAAATGGGGCTCAAGATACAGAAATTTTGCTGAAATGTAAACCTTTGGTATTGGCAAGGTATAATGTAACTGGATGATTAAACTAAGAAAGGGATCTGGACAGAGATGAAAAAAGTAATTAATTGATGTGGCACCATCAGAACTGGAAAGTTTCAGACAAAACTGAGAAGACCTCTATGAAGAGAAGTGAAGTAATCAGATGCTTCATGATGTTTCTCACATCATAAAATTGAACAAGCAGAATGAATGAGTGAGTGAGTATTCTGAACTTTTTGCCCCAATATCCTTGAGTACAAATTCTGTTGTGAATGACATGGGTAAGTGAGTTTTAGGTTGTCTCTAATTCGCCCATGTCAAAAAAACATGGTCAGAAGTAGGAAGATAATTTCTACTTTGACAACAACCTTATAAAGAAAAACAACCTTGAAATACTTTAGAACTCTGATTAGGTAATGACAAACCATAATTTCAGAAGTCCAAAGATGGCCATGTTACCCACTCCTTGCCAGAAAGATGATGTGCTTACAATACAGAAAGAGACATACGTTTTTGGACGTGGCCAAGAAGGGGTTTTGTTTTGCTTGACTATACGTATTGTGAGGGAATTTATTTTTATTAATTGATTTTTTATTGTTCAACAAAGGAGAGTAAAACAGAATGAAGAGAAAAATAAAGGTTCATTTTTTAAAAATAACTAATTGAGAACCAGGATCCTTAAGCTAAAATCCAGGATGTCAGATTCCAATATAGATTTAGCACTGGAAGGGGTCTTAGACATCACCCCTAATCCAAGACTCATTTCAGAGATGAAGAAACTGAGATCCAGGTTGCAGAGGTAAAAAAGAACAGAATTGTGGTCTGAACCTAGGTCTTTTAACTCTTGTCCTTCCATTTTTATAGTTCTATCCTAAGTGATGGAATGGAATTAGCCCACATTCTGGCAAGAGGGTGTGTGTAATGAGACAGATTTTTTTGGATATGGCCAATTGCTTTGACTGACTGTGCTTATTTGTTGCAAGTTCTCCCCCTTCCTCATTCCCTTTTTTCTCTAAATTTAAGGATGGCACATGACAGAAGAAGAGAAAATCATGTTTTGTTAATTGAATAAAATATTAAAAATAAGTATATCCTTCCATAGCTCTATCACTGTCCCCTCAATTACCCAGTCCTGAGATTCATACCATCTTTCTGCTTTGCCTTCTGCATTCTGTAATATTAACAGGCTTACCCATCAAACCCAAATGGCCTGATTTGACCCTTGGAGATTCCACCATTGCGTCTCTAAAGCAGTTAGTCTGCTCTGACTGACGAAGCGTAGCAATAAACACTTATGTCATAGACGATCATGCCTTTTCATAAATGTCACTCCTGAGTATCCTTTGAGTGTTTTTTTTTTGACATGAATGAATTAGAGCCAACCCAGAACTCACTTACACATGTCATTCACAACACAATTTGTACTCATGGATATTGGGGTGAAAAGTTAAGAACACTCACTCACTGTATTACTTAGCTCATTCATTCTGCTTGTTCAATTTTATGACTTGAGACACATCATGAAGCAATTATAGGCCAATTCCCAGATGCTCAAGGTAGGTTTAATTATTGCAAACTGTGCTGCCTGTCATTTCTTAGCACATTAATGTCAGTTGATGCCAGAACATTTTTACACTGAAAGATTCACCCCCTCATCTACTCAAGTAACAGTCTTCTCACTGGAAATCTTGAGAAATTTTTAATCATAATGAAAGAGAAATGCAAAACAAACAAACAAAAAACAAAACTAAAGGAACCATTATCATTCTTTTGAGGTTATCTGGTTAAGTATGCTGTCGGGTAATTGATTTTAAATACAGTAAATTCAATGACCAGTTTGAAAAGTAAGTCAATCCCTGACCACAAACATGAAAATATTTGCTGATGGATTAGTACTGATTGAATTAAGTCATAGGCATCATTTGCTTAGTGTAAACAGTTTTCTTTGTCTGCTTTTGTAAAGAATTAAATAGGTTTTTTTAAATGAATTTAAATTTTTCTCCATGGACAATACGAAACTCAAGATGTTCCAAAATGATTTAAAAGGCTGAGTCAGGCTGCATTATATCCCCAAAAGAGTAGGGATGGGGCCTGTGATTTCACTAACAAAGGAAGTTCCTATTGAGGAATTTCTTCTGCCATGGCACAGCATTATATCTGCAACAACAAAGAGATTAAATATTTGGCCCATGGTCACACAAGACAGTATGAGTAAAAGTGGAACATGATTCCAGATCTTTCTTTCTGTCTCTACCAGCTCTCTATCCACTGGGTCGAACTGTCTCACCCAAGAACATTCACAAATCCCAAGGCCACATGCTGGAAAAAACAAACAAACAAACAAACAAACAGTTTTCTCCTCTTTGAGATGAGGATAGTACCACGAAGCTCAGAAAGGAGAAGGACCTTCCCGCTGCCATAAAATCCAAAGCTGCTAGGCTAGAAGGGAGGTAACAAAATATTGTTAACAGCAAAATCATTTGTGCTGGACTAATTGATAGCACCCCAATCAGGGAGACGAGGCAAGGGAGCAGTGGAGGCCAGAAGGCAGCAGTTACCCCCAAGACAGGGCACCAGTCTTTCACTTTGGGCCAGAACTGACGAATGTGTGTGTTAGGCTGGTTATTCCTACTGCTTTCGTAAAGTTGTTTAACTTAGAAGGAGAAAAGAGTTTGGTTCTAGGCACAGATGCAGTTCTTCAGTACTGCAGAACAATGGCAAGGAGAAAGATTTTGACAGACATTATCATCTGCCGATGAATGACAGCAGCTCCCAATTGTCCTATTGGTCCAGCTTGGAAGAGATACCTTTGACTTGACTGCCCTTCCTCGGGATTCTTTCTTAGCATAGGATCTCAGGGAGCTTAGTGATCACCTGGTCCAATAGCCTCCCTTTAGAGATGAAGAAGTAGAGGGCCAGAAAGATGAAGTAATTTGCCTAAGGTCACACAGTTAATCTAGAGAAGAAAATGGCAACCACTCCAGTATCTTTGCCAAGAAAACCCCCGATAGGGTCATGAAGAGTCGGATATGACTGAAATGACTGAACAACAGCTACAACAATGGAAATAAATATCAAAGCAACTGTCAAAGACCCCTCTGACTCCACATGTAGTGCTCCTTTCATTATATCAAGCCCAGGGACAAATAGAGGGATGAACGCTCTAGACACCTCAGAGTAAAACTTGAACATGAAACACTTGGTTCTCAAGAAACATCAAGGCAAACAGAAGCATCTGTTATCAATATTGGCCAATTCCTTGGCAGTCACAGAACCTGCAGTTCTCGAGGAGAACGCCTCTTCTGCCCCCTTCAATGAGCTTGGGCTTTCAGGGTCTTTTTACTTTATCCATCTACTTACCTCTAGCCATGCAACTACTGTGGGCCCATCCCACTGGGCAAAAGGCAAACCCTTTCTTCGAGCTTCTTCCAAAAGTTCATGCCTGAAGCATAAATAGATTGCAAATTGTTAGCTGTGGAATATGGAATGAGATTGCTATAATTGCTGAAAATGGCAAAATTAACACAATTCACTAATCTCCTTTACGAATCCTCATGAGAAACCACCGAATAAATGTCTTTCATCTCTTGAGCATATTACTTTTGACACATAGTTCTCTTCCTAGAAATAGAACATTAGGTTTTAACTGGCATCAATGAAGCATCATTTTTTTCTGATTAATTCACTGTCTGTAGCAATAAATACAGATTGCTAAGAAACTACTTCTTGCTATACCTAGCACATACTTGACATAAAAATCACTTGTATGCATCAAATATATATTAATGTTGAAGATGCCACATCTAGAAAAATTCAGTCTTGGATTTATGAATAACAAATTCCTAAAACCATTTTTGAACACAATCTGTCACTCATCTTAAGCAAGACCTTAGGCCTCAGTTTTGTGTATCAGTACTATAAAGTGCTGATTCAACTCCTCCACTGGGTTGAAATACAAAGTGTGAAATTTTAACATGCTTGTATTTACACATACTCTCGGCCCTTTAATGGAACTCAAACTTGCCACTTTATAATAACCAAATGATTGTCTCTAAGAATAGATTTAACAATAAAACCTTTACTGATTCTTTGTAAATCGTGCTTTCCTACTACGGCCAGCAGACAGTATTTTGTCCTCAGCCCTGGCCTTAATTTCCATAGAATAGTTTGAAAGGGTTCATTGCTGACCTAGTAAGCATATCACTTCGTAAAACTGAAATCAATCCACATTTGATTCATTGTCCAATTTAAAACATATTCAGTGTTCCTTAGAGTTCTTCCTCACAATACTGAATAATATTAAATGTGCTGTAGATTAATTTACTTACACTTTAACTCTGCTTTCCAAGTTGAGATTTAAGGTATTTTAAAAAATAATCCTGCATCTCTATTATACAGACCTCTCAAAATAATAGTGTCTGTAGATAAATGTATTTATGTAAATAATTATAGTATAGCATTCTATGCACATTGTGCTAGTTTACATTAATAAAGCAGAAAAATACAAATGTAAATTTCTTGTAACACCGGAGCTTATCTTGTGTTCCTCAATGAGATGTTAACAGCATTGATGCAGTAAGAAAAGCAATGAGGAGGAAAAGAAACAAGCTACAATTACGTGGATAAACGTAGTCATAAATCACCTGCTACTTCACTTGGACAGTAGAGATAGGATATATTGACTGGGTCCACATGCAAACCACCTACTACCCAGAGCCCTTAGTTAGGATGCTACATGCGGAATTCTCTAAGCAGCTGCTGGGGTGAGGCAGGGAGAGGAGAGAAGAAGGGGAGAGAATTATGGTTTCTACATAGTTTTGTTGTTGTTCATTCATTTCAGTCATTTCCAATTCTTCATGACCCTATTTGGGGTTTTCTTGCCAAAGATACTGGAGTAGTTTGCCATTTCCTTCTCCAGCTCATTTTATAAAAGAGGAAACTGAGGCATACAGAGTAAAGTGACTTGCTTAGGGTCACACAGCTAGTGCCTAAGCCCACATTTGCGCTCAGGTCTTCCTAACTCCAGGCCTAGCCCTTTATTCATTGTAAGATCTAGCTGTTCCTTCTATATGACTTGCTCCCATTACAATTCTGATGAGAACCATTAATTAGAAACTAACTTTGCCTGGGCCTATTTCAATTTGTTTATAGAAACAGATGCGGCAATCTAGCAACCACTAAACATAATTCATTGAGGTTCACTTAATATAATAATATAAATTAGCATTTATATTAATTTTAAACTTCACAAAGTACTTTCCTTACAGCCCTGCAGCGAGGCATAGTATGCAGTGTAAATATCATTGGCCCCCTTTAGAGATGATGAGGAAGCTAGGTGGCACAGTAGATAGAGCATTGGTCCTGGAGTCAGGAAGATCTGAATTCAAATCCAACCTTAGACACCAGCTGTGTGACCCTGGGCAAGTGATGTCACCCTGTTTGCCTCAGTTTCCTCATCTGTAAAATGATCTGGAAAAGGAAATGGCAAACCACTCTAGTACCTCTGCCAAGAAAACCCCAAATGGGCTTACAAAGAACAGGGCACAACTGAACAAAAAAGCCAAAAACAGATGATGAAACTGAGTCTTAGAGCAGTAAATCATTCTCATAGTCATACTCTTAGGAAGGAGCAGAATCAGAATTTGAACCCACATCTTTCTGAGGCCTCCAAGTTCAATGTTCTTTCTACTACACCAGAGTGTTTCAGTACAACAAAAACTGAATACTGTGCTAGGTGCTAAGAATACTATAGAAAAACATATGAGATGTGGTATGTAATCTCAAGTAATTTATAATCTAGTAGGAAGGACAAAGTAAACACACAACAGACTATGTAATGAAGGGCTATGCTTTGCGGTGAAATTGTAAGTTATATAGGATTTTTGAGAAGAGAGAGAATAATAGAACAATGAAGGCTGGAATAATGAGTGTTTCTTTATATGAATATTCTTTAAATATTTTTTTTAAATTCTGCTTACTTTAATTATACCACGTTTCTGACTAAATTAGCTCAGTTTATGCTGTGAAGCATGGAGTAAGTGGTATGGTGTAGTGCCTACAGCCTTAGGTTCAGAGCCTGAAGACTTGACTAAGAAAACTAGCAACTCGGCACTTCCAATATTACTTAATCTCCATGAACCTCAGTTTCCTCATCTGTGTAATAGGAACAATAATTCTGAGTGTAAGTAGCAGGTTTGGAATTATAGGATTTGGGTTGAAATCCAGGCTCTGCTTCTTATACAGGGCTTCTTAAACTCCACAGTTTAAGAAGCGCTGAATGACACTGGATCTATCACAACCCTTCTGGCCTTAGTTTTCTTATCTCCAAACTGAGGAGGTTGGACTTCATTAGATGATCTCTAAGGTCCCCATAGGATGTAAATTCTACATCCTATGATTCTAAAAGAACACAGGTCAATTCTATTAAGATCGTCATCAAAAATAGGGGAGGCTATGGAAGGAAACATCATAAAACAAAGTGAAAAAGTCCATGGGAAGATTAATAACTTCCATGAAGAAAGTGTCTAATTAAAAATCCACAAAGTCTAGATTTATAGATTAGAAATCTATAAGTATTTCTGCAAACATAAATCTGAACTAATAACTGCCCAATAAAATGTTAATTCCTTGAGCAATTTTCACTTTCAAGTAGTAAATTTTATTTTTATATCTAGGGCACTGAGGGACAGCTAGACGGCTCAGTGAATAGAGTGTTTGGCCTGGAGTCAGGAAGATCTGAATTCAAATTATGCCTCAGACATTTACTAGTTGTGTGATCCTGGGCAAGCTACTTAACTTCTGTTTGTTTTAATCCACTGGAGAAGGAAATGCCAAACCACACCACTGTCTTTGCCAAGGAAATCCTGTGGGTGGTTCACAGGTTCGTGAAGAATCGAACATGATCAAAAAAATTGACCAAGAAGAAATCCTAGGCACTGAGCATCTGACAGTGATGGGCATGTCAGATCTGGACCTTTGATCTCCTTGGTGTGGGATATCCCAGAAACTCCCACCATATGTGCACAAGGAGAACTCATATTTAACTTATCCTGGGGGAGTGGAAAGCTAAGTTACTTGCCTAGAGCCATATAGGTATATGTTTGACTTAAGCCTAGATCTTTCTGCCTCCAAGGTGCAACACTATATTGACCCATTGAGAACAGAAAATGTGTCTAAGAAATGCATCTTGAACAGAAGTGAATTTTCTAATCAGTCTTAAAATATCAAAAATTAAGTGACTGCCAAGAAAGACCTCATGTTTGGTGCCTCATGATTAGTCTTTGGTGGCAACATTTATCTTTGGAGAGAAAAGAAAAGATAGGCAACTGGAATTGAAGCTAGACTTCCAACAGAATGAAATTGAAGACTAGTTAGAATATTTCTTTCCTCTTCATCTCTTTGTTATCTCCTTAAGAAATGATATTAACAAAATCAAATATTTTAACTGGTCCATGCCATATTCTACATTTGGGGAAGGATACTGATATTAACAAAAGCCAGGCAATGACATCCCCAGATGTGAAAATTATTCTTCTATAATTCAACACACTCATTTCACATCCAAAAGATGTTGTCACTCAATAAATACTTAATAAACCCTGACTGATGAAAAGCTCTAATATAAATATATCACAGACAAATATGTATGTAAGCACAGAATCTTAGATTTGGAAGGGACTTAGGTGATAATACAATCTGGCCCAACTGTGAAAAGAACCTCCTCTATAACATTCCTGATGAGTGACTGTCTAGTATTCCTAAAGACCTCTAGTGGAGAGAAAAACACTTTACCTCCCAATGCTGCCCAATTCTCCACTGGATAGCTCTCATTTTTATGGAGTTTTACCTTAAGTCCAGCTCAAAACTTCATCTCTAACTTCCATCAACTACCCCTAATTCTGACCTCTAGGTCTAAGCAGAACAAGTCTTCTTCTTCATTAAATAGCTGTTGAATCATTTCACTCGTCTGACTCTTTGTGACCTCATTTGAGGTTTGCTTGGCAAAGATACTGGCATGGTTTGCCATTTCCTTCTCCAGCTCATCTTACAGATGAGAAAACTGAGGCCTACAAGGTGAAGTGACTTGCTCAGGGTTACATGGCTAGTAAGTGTCTGAGGCCAGATTTTAACTTAGGAAGATAAGTCTTTCTGACTCCAGGCCTGGCATTCTATTCACTGTAGCACCTAGCTGACCCAGCTTTTCAAATATGTGAAGACACTTGTCATGCCCCTCCCACCTTTCTCACCTATATTAAATTGTTCCAGCATTGATGGAAAAGAGATTGTTTGCTAAAGAGTAAAATGTACATAGGAAGGACCACCGTCATTGCTATGAGCTTACCCTTTATAACAATTCCTTTCTCCTCTCCCTTCCTGCCTCAATTTCCCCTATAATTTGAAGGACAGAAATAGTCCCACTATTATTCTCAATTTTCTTCTGGC